AGTACATATAGATTTAGAATAGTAGTTATATTTTAATGATCGAAATACCAAAAAATCGGACAAAAAATTGAGCCGAACCGAAACCCGATATCCGGATTGAGCACCTATAATCCGAATGAAACCGAACTATTGTTTCATTTTTCAAAACATAATAAAAATAATAGCTTCATCCCGCGCAAGGCGCGGGTCTTATCCTAGTCTATATATTAAACTGAAATTTCATCAAAAGTGAATTAATTACTTTTATAATCGTTTTTTATTTTTATGTTATGGATTTTTGACAGATGGGCTCAGATTGCTAAACATCTACCTGGAAGAACAGATAACGAGGTCAAGAATTTCTGGAACTCAAGCATAAAAAAGAAGCTCATGTCTCACCATTATCATGGTCACAATCTTCATCATCATATCTCCTCAATGGCGAGTTTGCTCACTAACCTTCCTTATCACAACGGATTCAATACTACTAATGGAGACGATGAAGGTTCAAGATTCATGTCAAATATCATCACAAACACTAACCCTAATTTCATCACTCCAAGTCACCTCTCTCTCCTTTCTCCTCAAGTTATGGCCCCATTGATGTTCCCAACCTCTAGAGAAGGAGATTTCAAGTTTTTATCAACTACCAACACAAACCAATCTCATCAAGACAACAACCTCGACATTTATGATAATGATTCCCAGTTGCCATCACTACCAGATCTCCCAGCGAGTACCATTTCCACTTTTCAAGAAACCCTTCAAGATTACGATGATGCTAATGAACTCAACGTGTTTGTAACACCATACAACGATGGTGGTCATCATGATGATCCTCGGAGCATTTCATTGGTGGCCACGAAGTTATTATGTGGACAAGTTCTTGAAGGTAAAGTATTTTCCTCCTCGCCAGTTTCACAATACCATGGCCTTCTGATCCCCAACACTTACAACTTGCAAATGCCTGGTGATCATCATAATCGAGTGGACTCACACATCAATCACATCATCATATCATCATCATCATCATCATCATCCTCATTATCGCCAATCACTTGTGGGCAGTACGTCATCACTTAAGCAAACCCTACTCCAACATGGGATTCCTAGACATGGGTACGTAGACATACGTACGTTTTTATCTATATATAAGGGAAGAGAGAACTAAAATAATCAGCCACATGTGTTGCAATGTCTTTTGCATATAATATATTTTATACTACATAGTAGAAGAATTTGTGATTGTTACATTTAATACATTTATAATATTGCATTGTTTTTGTATAATGGGAGGGAGGATCATAAAGGGTTCTTGTTCTTCAGGTTACTTTTTTATTTTGTTTTAAGGTTATAGTTATAGTCGACTGAATGGTGGGAAAAGGTTGGTCCTACGTTAAACAAAATTAATGAACACCTACAAATACAAATACACATATGTATGTAAGCAAGTACTAATCACAAAGCACGTATATGGAGGATGTACGATCTCTATCTCGTCACCTACGTACACATTGTGTTTGTATATGGTCAGTTTGTTTTAGCCTCTGTATCAGAAAATGGAAATTACTGTCTTCATCTTTGTTTTGTTGTTTGTCGCTTATTGCTTCTTCTCTCTCTTTTTATGTAATACTTTTATATAAGTAATAATTTGAGTAGAATTGTTCAAAATCATGTGCTAGAATAATAATTATACAAATTTATACATTTAAAATTTTAAATATAATCAAAATATACACATATTTATATATTTACGGATCGGATCGGATATCCGCTTTCCAAAATTTTAATATTTGTGATTTGCTTCGATTTTGACGGATATTGAATTTTAGTATTTGCTTCGATTCAAAAGTTTACGGATATCCGGAATTTTCGGATCGAATCGAAACGAATAACGAATCGAATCAAATATAACAGATAAAATGCCCAGCCCTACACTAAACTGTGAGATTGTTTTTTGGTCATTTTAAAATATTATTTTATTGCGAAAAACTACAATTATTACCATTAACATTTGTTCGTTAGTAAAGCAGTGATAATCTGTCAGCATATGCAGGAAAAGATTCCTTAATAACAAACACTAAAAAGGAGTTAAGGTTGTCCACAAAAAAAAAGAAAAAACACGCTGAGATCTTTAAAAATTATAACTCGTTTCCAAGATTCAACAAAACATAAAAAAATGGATACTAATATATCCAAATTATTTCTGAGATCAAAGATTCAGATTTTTCTAGCCTGAAAGGACACAAAAAGAGAGACTTAACCGGCCTACTCGATAACCGGAGATCCACAGAGATTCTAAGCCGTGACTCTGTGACGCCCTTTGGCTATCCTTCGAGCTATGACTCTCCGTCCACCTTTGGTTGCTTTGCTGTTCACATTAATACATTCACTAGTCGAGTAAGTAAAACATAAATCACTCAAAAACACCATGTACAAACATAGACTTTTCTCCTTACTTTCTACTAATGCTAAACAACACATTCCTCTTAACTACTACATTAAAGAATAAGAGGTTTTGATTAACTACATTTTGCTGAGGAACAGAACCAAACATACCGAGCAAAGAATCCATGGTTCCGTTTACGCCTGATGGTGCTAGGTTGGAATGTCCTCTTAGGAAATAAAAGCAACGGTTCACTTGAAGGATCAACTACATCACCAAATACAAATACATCAAGCAGAGCACAACAAAGTGTTCAACTTTGCAAAGTACAAACAAACAATAGACTAAAAAGCTGGAACATTCTAATAGCTTCATTACATGCACAACTCAAACACAGAGCATAGCTAGATTCTTCACCCTCCCTACAACTACAAGCACCTTTATAACTCTCACCATAGCCCAGAACTCCCACTAGCATCAAACGGGTAATAACAAGACTAAACCCATCTAAAGTTTAATACTTTCAATCTTGTTTCTATTGAGTAACCCTAAAGTTTAATACTTTCAATCTTGTTTCTATTGGGTAAACCTAAAGTTTAAAACTTTCAATCTTGTGTCTATTGGGTAAACCTAAAGTTTAACACTTTCAATCTTATGTCTATTGGGTAAACCTAAAGTTTAATACTTTCAATCTTATGTCTATTGGGTAAACCTAAAGTTTTAATACTTTCAATCTTGTTTCAATTGGGTCAACCTAAAGTTTAACACTTTCAATTTGGTTTCTATTGGGTAAACCTAAAGTTTAATACTTTCAATTTGGTTTCTATTGGGTAAGCACTTTCTGATTCCTTCAACGATCAAATTACCAATTCTAGCTACTGACTCGAGATGCACTCAAATGAAGGTAAGAGACACAAACAAGTACCTTCTGGTAAGAAGAACTCGAGTGAAGGAAGACCAGATGGGTGGAGAAAACCACGTTGCGTTAGCTCCTGAAGCGTAACTTTGTCGTTAAGGCGTGGATGGAGCGAGCTTTGTAAATTCGAAAACGACGAGGGAAAATACGGTGGGAGTTCTTGTCGCTGAGGAGCGATCTGCTGAATCGCTCTGAGATTGTTCTGTACGAGATTCGTCGTTGGCTTCGAGAGGAACCGATTCATCAGTAAAGCTCCCGACCTGATTAGGGTTTTGGCCGCCATTTCTTCTCCGAGATTTTGCGATTGCTTCCCCCTGAGACTGAAAGCTCTCTCTTTGAAAATGTACGAGAATGACGAAATGTAACTGGGCTTTGGGCCTGAGGCCCAATTTAGTAAATTAACAGATTGATCAAACGATGTCGTTTTATGATTTTCAAAATATCATATGAGAAAAATCGGCATTAACTTCTTCATGTAACAGAGAATAAGCATTAACAAGAGTATCATCGTCTACAAAAAAAACTACAGTGTTCATGGAGATCATCAGGCTAGACGGGTAAGACGATTTAGTTGGGCCTAGATATAGCCTTTAATTAGTTGTTTTGGGCCTCATATAATTTTGGTATCTATAAGGCTATAATTATTTGATTTGATTATCTTTCCAGTGAAGAAGTCATGTCCTTGTAAATTGTGATGGTCAACGAAGCGTAATTCGGATTCCACGTGTCGGTGTGCCGGAGCCGATGACACCGTCCAAACTTTAGGAAAGGTGAGGAGGCGGCGATGTGGATCCCAACTAAAAATTGGGCTTTTATGTGGGACCCATTATTGTCCAGCCAAGCATCGATGTATAGACCCCCACATGGGACCCAATTTCTCTTTACCGTCGGCCTATGCAATGAGTATTTCATAATGTCTTTGGTGAAAAAGTTTACCTGAAAATTGTTATTTCCTTACATATGAACTAAGAATACCTATTAATACAGTATTGTACAATATTGATTCAAGAAAAAGAGTTATTTCGAGCCAAATAGTTTTCATTAGTCCTTCCATTTCATAAAAAGTGTCAATGTAGAATAAACATTTATTACAAAAAAATATTATTTTAGTATATTAATATAAAAATCGTTAATCTTATATGCATGATTCTATATATTTTTTATTAATGAAAATATCATTAGATATATAGTTAATGATATTATTTCAAAATATATAAATTTAAATGTAATTCTGTGTATATAAATGTAAAATAACAGTTAAAATAAAATGGAAGGAGTAGTAGTTAAGTCATATACTTGATCAATGTTGTTGGTGAAAAAATTACACTCAAATCAGTACTGAAAAAAAAGAAAAGAAATAAAACAATAATAATACTTTTTGGCATTATTCTTTTGTCAAATAGAAAAAAGCCTTACCAGAACCAGAGTCGTCTTAAGCAAACAGAGCGGTGCATCATCATAAAAGCTCGAGAGCTTCCCCTCTTGAGATCTCTGTCTCTCATTCATCACTCTATTGGGCGATAATGGGTATTTTGATACACTCATCTCCTTTCTTCTCTGCTCTTAAATGTTTTTTCCTGATCTCGTTGATCCGTTTTCTTCTTTGCCTTTTGATCTGATCTGATCAGTTGTGTTTTTTTTTTGACCCAATCATTACTCGTTTCGTTGTTAGCTTTGTGATTAGGGTTTGTGATCTATATCTATTTTAGATGATTTTAGTTATTCTGTGTTCTTTTTGGAAGCAGATGAGTGTCAATGAGTATATCGAAGCTAGATTTGATTGATTACTATTAGAAATCTGATTTCATGGCTAGGGTTTTCAACAGTGATGAGGGAAAATGCAATTAAGGATTCTGGGTTTAAAGAAAAAAAGTAAAAGTTTTGATTTTGACGTTTGCTGTTGAGTAGCAAAGACTAAATTTCAGATCTCAGTTGTTAAGGAAGATCTTGCTTTGTTCAGTGGGATTAGGTGTACAGTGTGTGTGCTTATTTGATTTCTTCTTTTATTGTGTTGTAAAAATGCAGATGCCGCTTGCTCTACGCAGCTTATTGATGGAGATGGTACCTTTAATGTTGCTGGGGTTGATCATTTTATCAAGGAGGTTAAGTTGGAAGAATGTGGTCTTTCCTATGCGGTTGTCTCAATCATGGGTCCTCAAAGTAGTGGTATGTTTCAAAATCCTTTGAATGCTAAAGCTTTTGCTTCTTCTGGATCCATTTTTTTTCTGACGTCATTCTGGTTGAATTTGCAGGGAAGAGTACGCTCTTGAATCATTTGTTTGGGACAAACTTTAGAGAAATGGATGCTTTTAGAGGAAGGCACGTTCTGCTCTTTGTAAACATCGTTGGAAGAATACTTAAGGTTCTAGTTTAAGATTCTTTAAACCTCTCAAATTCCTTTGTTTCCAGGTCTCAGACGACTAAGGGAATCTGGATTGCTAGATGCGCTGGTATTGAGCCTTGCACCGTTGTGATGGATTTAGAGGGTACCGATGGGAGAGAGCGTGGAGAGGTGTGTACCTGTCATATTTAGCTCTTTTACTATATTGTATCATACTGTTAGTTGGTATAATATTGTTTTGGGCTTTTGCACTGATTATGAATGACTTGTATTGATTACAGTCTAAACTTGGCTTTATGCTCTGTGTAATTCTTGAAGTGCCAACATAGAGAATGTGTTGGTGCAGAATGGCTTACTTACGTTTATTTTCCTTGTATTCGATTGTCAGGATGATACTGCTTTCGAGAAACAGAGTGCTCTTTTTGCACTTGCTGTCTCAGACATCGTTCTCATAAACATGTAAGTGGGTTCTCTGCTATTTCTTCCGTAGATAGCAGGACCATTTTTTTCTGTCATCTTATATCTTACTGGTTCTCGGATTTCTAATGCAGGTGGTGTCATGATATTGGTCGAGAACAAGCAGCAAATAAACCTCTATTGAAGACTGTGTTCCAGGTAAGTTTCTGCATCTTCTTATCAGGATGAGTTATCTCTTATCCGAAGTCTGAACTCCATTTGCTTTTCCTGCTACATACGCTCAGGTTATGATGAGGTTGTTTAGTCCGCGGAAGACGACTTTGATGTTTGTCATTAGAGATAAAACACGGGTATGTATGTATTTGTGTTTTACCATCTACTAAGCCGTAGCTTGCATTTTGTGTTTTCTTTTCTTCATCATTTTGTTCTGGGTTGTAAGTTGTGGATGACTTTTTGCAGACGCCATTGGAAAATTTAGAACCAGTGCTGAGGGAAGACATTCAAAAGGTAAAATAAGAATCATTCTTTAGCTTTTATGTTTGACTATTCAATCCCTTATATTTTGTCCTTAAATGCAGATCTGGGATTCAGTCCCCAAGCCTCAAGCACACAAAGAAACTCCACTTAGTGATTTCTTCAATGTACGTCTGCTTCACCATTAGATAATAACTTAGTATCATTCTTGTTTTGCTAGGATCAAGTAATGGAGTTTTTCTCTGTGTTACAGGTTGAAGTAGTTGCTCTCTCTAGTTATGAAGAAAAGGAAGAGCAATTCAAAGAGCAGGTCCGTTCACAATTAGCTTTACATTTTGGATAAACTCCAGGGTCACCTATTTGCTCAAGAGATGGCTTGTAAGTGATATTAATGCTTTTGCTATGTTTTTGTTTGTAAAAGGTGTATAATTTGAGGCAACGGTTCTTCCACTCTGTCGCACCGGGTGGGCTCGCTGGTGATCGACGAGGAGTTGTCCCTGCCAATGCGTTTGCTTTTAGCGCAAAACAGATGTGGCAAGTCATTAAAGAAAACAAAGACTTGGACCTTCCAGCACACAAGGTAATTGTGCTTGCTTAAGGCTCTCGGTACATCACCCATACGTCACTGTTCCTTACAGTCTTGTTACTGCGCAGGTCATGGTAGCAACTGTGCGATGTGAGGAAATTGCCCATGAGAAGTTTGCTAGTTTTATTGCGAATGAGGTGAAATCTCTTGATACTGCTCTGCGTTTTAGTCCTTGTCAGTGACTTTTTTGCTAATATTCGTCCCTAAACGTTGTATAGAATTGGCGCGAATTGGAAGAAGCTGTACAGTCTGGTCCTGTTTCCGGATTTGGAAAAAAGCTGAGCTCAATCCTCGAGTCTTGCTTATCAGAGTAAGAATTTCGTAGTGACTTGTTCTTTAGAGCTTTTTCTTGTGTGCTGACTTTATTGAATTATAGGTTTCTTAATGCACATACTATATTCTAGGACGGCTGGAATATCCTTTTCATGCGTGTTCTGATGTTTGTCATATAGGTATGACACAGAAGCGACATACTTTGAAGAAGGTGTAAGATCATCCAAGAAACAACAGCTGCAAGAGAAGTTATTGCAAGTAATGCATATACTCTCAACTTTGTGTTTTGTTTCAGTCGGGCGTTACTTGAAAACCTTCAGGGACTTACATCGCTGTAAAAAAAGCAGATACCTAGTATTATGCACTTATTTTCTTATTGTCCTATGTAGCTTGTTCAACCAACTTTCCAAGACTTGCTTGGACATTTGAGATCTGGAGCACTTGAAAATTTCAAGGATGCTTTTGAGAAGGCCTTGAATGCTGGGGAAGGCTTTTCATCATCAGCGGACTCATGCGCTCAGTCTTGCATGTCTAAATTTGATAAAGGATGTGAAGGTATAGCTTATTGCGAAGGATCATTAATAGATATACGACATTAATTGGTATACTAACTAAGGAAATATTTTGTTGCAGAGGCTGTTATTGAACAAGCAAAATGGGATACATCTAAAACTCGGGAAAAGCTTCAGCGTGACATTGAAGCCCATATCTCATCTGTCCGTACTGAAAAGTTGTCTGAATTGACTACTCTGTACCAGGTAAAGAGAATCCTCAAGCAGAATAATCCATGCATATTAATCTGGACAATCTAGTCCTATCTGGACCTTCCTAATAGAATATCGTCACTGCAGTCAAAACTAAATGTGGCATTATCCGGACCGGTGGAAGCTCTCTTGGATGGAGCTAATGATGAAACATGGCCAGCAATAAGAAAGCTATTGAAACGAGAATCAGAATTAGCTGTCTATGGTCTCTCTGATGCGTTATCTGGTTTCGACATGGACAAGGAAACACGGAATAAAATGCTCACTGACCTCGAGAACTATGCACGAGGTATTGTTGAAACCAAGGCAAGGGAAGAGGCTGGAAGAGCGTTGATGCGCATGAAGGATAGGTGACACCATTTTATTACTCTTTCATCATTTCATTATCCATAACTTCCCTCCTCTACACAGCTTTCTGATTAAACAGATTTCTATCCAGATTTGCTACAATCTTCAGCCATGATTCTGATTCAATGCCACGTGTTTGGACTGGAAAGGAGGACATCAGAGAAATCACCAAAATGGCTCGTTCTGCAGTATGAACCTTACCTCATATAGCAATATCTCAGCACCTATTCTCTGATAGGTTTTGATTTTACCGTCTTGTTCTCCTTTTGTAGTCCTTGAAGCTGCTTTCCGTTATGGCTGTTATCCGCTTGGATGATGAACTAGACAATATTGAGAAGACGCTGACTCTCGCTTTGGTTAATTCTACAAGCAACAATGCTACCAACAAGAGCATCAGCACAATTGATTCACTCGCGTCCAGCACTTGGGAGCAGGTGACTTAAAAACCTCACCAAGTTTAGATAATGACTATACAAAGGCCTTATATCATTTCACCCGCCTTTGATATTTATAAGATCTCTATCCCTACCTTCTTATTATCAGGTTGCACCAGAAAAGACGCTGATCACACCTGTACAATGTAAATCACTGTGGAGACAATTCAAAAACGAGACAGAATATACCGTTACACAGGCCATTTCTGCACAGGTACACTGATGTTTTTTTTTTGAAATGTTATTAGAATCTAATAGCCTACAAAATTTTAGAGGTTTGGAATTTGAATAGAGTCACATTGTATTTCAGGAAGCTAACCGAAGGAATAACAACTGGTTGCCACCTCCATGGGCAATCCTTGCCCTGGCCGTTCTTGGATTTAATGAATTTATGACTCTCTTAAGGTACTCGTTTCTCATTCTTTCAAATTGAATCATATAAAGGAGATTCTCCTCACTCACAATTCTCCTCCTTGCATGCATCTCTTTGTGGCAGAAATCCTCTATGGCTCTTGGTTCTGTTTGTTGGATACCTTGTTTCCAAAGCCTTATGGGTGCAACTAAACATTTCAGAAGAGTTCCGCAATGGAGCGGTATGAGCAAGCTTTCCATCATTCCTTTCTTCCTTTGATCTCAGTAAATAATAATCTCTCTGAATTGGCAATGTTTAATCTGTGATCAACAACAGCTACCTGGACTTCTTTCCTTGTCAACCAAGTTCCTTCCAACGGTCATGAACCTTCTTAAGAAACTCGCGGAAGAAGGACAAGCGCCGCCATCCACAAATACCAACCAAACTTCGATGAACTCATCAGCTCAATCCGAGGTTACAACCAATGGAGAAAGCAGCACCAGCAGCAGCAGCTCTGCTTCGTCTCCAGTGAAATCTGTTCCCACTAACAAAAGTGCATAGAACAAAGAACTAGACAAGCTTAAGCTGTTTGTCCGAGAGCCCACGAAATCTAGATACTTAAAATCTCGTTACCCTTACAGAAGGGTAGCCCTCTCGTTTTTTGGTGATGATCAGAGGGATTCATCTAGAGCTATACGTTTTATGTCTCCCAAGGCATTGGTTACCACTTGCAGGTGCCAAGCCGTATTGTATGTTTACTAGACAAAGAATCTGTTGCAGACAACCAAAAACAAACTCATGATTTGTTTGCGAGTTATGTAGTGATGTGGTTTATTGTATCTGATAAAAGAATGTTCCTTGAAGAAAACCTGTTCTTTTGGTTATATGTGAAATTCAGATTGGTTTGTTGATTTAAGAGAATTTCAGTTTCTATGGTAATGCACTCAGTTTCCAACTAAAAATATAGCAAACTTCAGCATGCTCTGGGTGTTAATACTAGTGCCTCGACTATTGTTTTCAGCCTTCAAGTTTATAATATAGGAATCTCTAGTTTTAAAAATGTTTATTTTTTATCCAAGACCTGAACCTCTGGTTCAACAAGAGGCTAAAGCCACGACGGTTTTAATAAAACAAAAGGTTAAAGTTATCTTTCAGACCATCAGAACTGCAACGACCATGTCGGATTGTCTTAGTAAATATTCAACCAAAATTAAAAATAATGAACTAGTGCAGAATCTCGACACTGTAAAACCGTGTCTGAAAATATAGGGTTACAATTTCCAAACAAAAACAAAAGACTTTCTCTTTCGCCTAAGATCCAGAACCTCAGCTAACGGTTACCGAAAACCATAAGAAACAAAAATCCAGAAGAACAGAACGCAGTATAAACCCTAGAAATCGAAACCCAGAAGAACAGATGAAGAAAGAATCGATCCAAAAAAAGAACAAAAAAAATTTGGACCATTTCTCGATTTGTGCGTGTCATCCTTGCGCAGGGGCCATGCTAATCTTCTCTGTATCGTTCCAATTTTATCGGATGTCCCCGAAGGGACAATCATCTTCGTGACTCCATCGCTATATAAACTTTGCTTCTTCTCTTCATCTCCGCGATGTGGGAGCATTTTACATAGTTAAAAGCTTAAATGGGCCTGTTTATAACATAAGGCCTCACTTTACTATTCTTATTGGGCCTTTTTCATTATAAATGCTCATCATTACATTCATTTCATCATAAGATGCTGAAAACTGGAAAGCCATAATCATTCTTTTGCTTGAAACTCTGAGAAGCTTCATGTGATGTTGATCGTTTTAGAGCAACATTTCTTATCTTACAGTTATCTGATTAGTGACTAGCAACGTTTTAATACACACGTTATTACTGGACGATCTTATTTCAGACAGGAGCTATTAAAATAAAAATATCTATGTTTTCTCAGACTATTTTTTATTCCATGCAAATTCTTGTGCAACATATATCTTGGGAACTCCATGTCTCTTTGACGTCTAATCCTATAACAAATTTAACCAAATGAAATACTTTTTTTTTTTTTTTTTTCCAAAGGTAAGATGAAAAAAAAAAACTATTGAGGAGAGGTTTTTTCTTAGTACTAGTAAAATGATTCTTAAATCAAGAAAAAAAAAAAGCTAAGAAGAAACAATGAATTGTGCGGAAGGCAAGTCGAGTTTACTGTCTTCAACGTAACCATCATGATGCTCGAACTCGTTAGATACTTCTTCTACAGGCTTAACGTCTTCACATTCATCAATGAAGCCACCCTTCATATTCACCGTCGTTGATGAATCTTGAAGTTGAAGACACCACATGTCTTCTTGTAACCCATTAAAGTTTCCGGGGGAACAATATTGTTGTTGATTTGGTTCTTGGACATGATGAAGCTGGTAAGTGTAAGGAATCACGTTGTTGTTGTTTAGGTCACAAGTACTCGAGAGATCCTCAGGTTCTTGGATCTGTATATGCGGTTCTTGATAATGATGATGATGGTTATTAGCACGGTCACGGAACAAAGCTAGTTGCTGAAGAACCATATCCAATTCGTTTTTATTACATTGAATCTCGTACTGAAGCTTTCTTATGATGCTATAGCAACCTTCGATGGGATCATTGGCACGAGCATCAGACTGAAACATGATTGTATGCATAGCCGCGTCTTTCTCAGGAGGGCTAAGGTCTTTGATGATCTTTGTGATGTTGCTTACGCCAAAGAGCCTATGCGCGTTGAGGAATTGGCGATGACGGTCGTGAGGGAAATAAGGAGCGAGAAGACAATCAGGAGCGCATTTCCTGCGTTGGTATTTGCATGCTGCGCATGCTTGGTTTGTGGTGTTGGTACTGCTTGAAGGTTTTAATGGTGTTGTTGGTTTGTGATGTAAAGGGAAGATTGAAGATGGTTTGTTTGAGGGCATTGTTTTGTTTGATGGGTTTGGCGAGTTCGGTTCCTTAGATTTCTCCTGATGGGAAGGGAAGGCAGGGGAATGGAGAGAAATGTGGGAGGAGAGACAAGCTGATATAAGACAGAGAGAAAGAAGCAAGAAAGAGAAATAGAAAGAAAGAGATTTTGACCAATTCAAAGTCATGGGGGCTAGTGTTTATATTTAGAAAAGTGATAGAAGTGTGAAAATAGGGTCATGTCCTAATGGCGAAAAATAGAAAAAGACCACTGGAATTTACTAAAAATGAGCTATGTTTAGGTTATGAAACTATGATGTGTATGGATGTAATAAGAAGAAGATAAAAGTATATGGTTAGATGAGCTTGCGTTGCCAGCTTTTATAACCTGTTTCTTTTTTTTTTTTTTTTTCAATCATCTGCAAGCAAATTTTATCTGCTCATAAACAACATCAACATGTTTCTGATGACACAAAGCTATAACCAGAAACTTAACAAAACAAACTCACATGCATGGGGTTGATAATGGTGTGAGACATGGAAACCTAAAGGCAAAAAACTAACCATTTTCAATATCTTTCTTCTTCTGGCTCTTTGACTTGGAATGTGAGACAAACTCCATATTGTTGAAGAGACTGAAAGCAAAAAAAACAAATTAATAACAATACAAGTTGGTCAAAACGGCAAGAAGCGGAATACAATTTCATAACGTTTATAGATACCGCAAATGCTCAACATAGACAGGGCCGGCCCTGAGCAATGTCTAATGAAACATTTGTTTCAGGCCCCCAAAAATTTTGTAGAAAATTACATAAGTATAGGCCCCTAAAAAAAATTTTAGGCCCCCAAAAATTTTTTTTACATAGAAATCGCCAAAGGCCTCCAAAATCTCAGGGCCGGCCCTGAAGATAGATAATGAATATAAACATGAAACACAATGCTATTTGTGCAACTGAATGGAGAATGAAAAATGTAACAATAGTTGAAGGTTGATATTCCAATAAGGCTTTCAATTTCCATGAGAATATTGAAGAAACAAAGACATGAACATTAGTGAATCTCTTGAGTAGTCTTTCACCAATCCCCTATATATTAATTGAGAAACATTTGAAAAGATGTAACCTCAAGTTTGTATTAATTAAAAAGTAACCTTGATTAGTTGTCAATAAATTAGCATACCAATTAAACTGACGTGGCAGCTTTAGGTTCAATTGAAATTTGCTAGGGAAAAATAATTAGAGACGCATAAAACGCATGTAACATAGTTTATATATTTATATATATCGCACGCATGTAATGGAAGAAAAGGAAAATATACGATTTGATAACGATTTGCATATATTAACTATAATAACTTCATTTCTTTTAATTTATGGAAGTGTATATGTAAAATGGAAATTACTTTGTGACCAAGTATATACTTAATGGTAAAGGCAAGTGTATATGTAAAATGTAAAACTTAATATGTTAACTTGGGAATTTATGTTAAACTTTCGATTTTTTCGTATAAGTTATATTTTGAATTTTTAAAAACGAGAATAAATAACTAAACTATTAAAATTATTATGTTAAAAATTAATGATCAATAGTTTAACATTTTTATTATAAAAAGATATNTAAAAACCATAGGATTTGGATATGGTTGATTTATAACCGATTAAACTGAAACATGTAAATATGTATATATTTATAACGACACATGAATATCTATTTGTTACATGAGTTGAACTATAATTATATTTTGTAAATAGCTAACAATTTATTACAACTGAGACTTCTTATTTTGATCTTTTGCTTTTTTAACAGTAACTAAATTAAAGTAAAGATTATAAATTTAATGGACAACAATTAGTTGAAATTCTTTACAATTTTTTTTTATCTTTAAACAAACAGAGTTGTGTTCAATCAAAGACATATTGGTTTGATGAACACTAAATATGGAAGAATATAAAAAATTTTCTTTCATGCTTCTGTTTTTTTTTTTTTCAAAATTTAGTGTTTTGATATTAATTCTAAATTTGATCATTTTATTAGATGATAGAAACCTTTTTTGTTTTTTTCTTTTATTTAAATATATAATATTTTTTTAATAAATGACCCTGTGGCAATATGACTCTAAATATGATCATATTATATATTTGTATAATATATAATATGATCTCAAACTAAATAATTATGTTTTTTGGTATAAAATTGAATAAACTGAAAACCGATGGTATATAAACCAAATCAAACTGTAGTACNTAATATGATCTCAAACTAAATAATTATGTTTTTTGGTATAAAATTGAATAAACTGAAAACCGATGGTATATAAACCAAATCAAACTGTAGTACATATAGATTTAGAATAGTAGTTATATTTTAATGATCGAAATACCAAAAAATCGGACAAAAAATTGAGCCGAACCGAAACCCGATATCCGGATTGAGCACCTATAATTCGAATGAAACCGAACTATTGTTTCATTTTTCAAAACATAATAAAAATAATAGCTTTATCCCACGCAAGGCGCGGGTCTTATCCTAGTAAAATAATTAAAAGATAATAAAGAAAATAGAAAATGAAATGATACAAGAAAACGTAATTTTTTCAGAGAATTTTGCAAACAAAAATCTAAGTTGTTGCGTGCGAAGCAAACATCAGAATACAGACTAGTTTAATTTCGAAGTGGAAAGAAACCAAACTTGTTCTCTCACACGACTAGATATGTCAACTAGTTTCTAAGTCGGAATTCCGAACACAAGCAGTCCTATAAAATACTGGGTTTAGTTAAATAAGCTCAAAAAAACTATTTTTTGGGTTTAGTCTATTTGGATTTTAGATTTTCGTTTGGATTAAATCGGTCCAAAAGATTAAAAAAAATTACATGTTAGTTAAAACAATATTTTTTCTTGTTTTCATAGTCATTCTTGATATTGACATATTGTTTTAATATTCTTGATCCAAATTCTAACAAAATTAATACGACATTTATAAATATATTTTATTATTTAATCATTACAAGAGTCACATTCTAAATTTGACAAATGTATTTTTTTATGTAGAACATGTTTAAGAAAATTGTGCAAAGTTTGACTGACTAGCATAAATTTTCCTCTCTTGTGTACTTAATTTTAATTTACTTTTAAATATTTAAATTAAATTAAATTTGGTTTATTTATAATATGGTTTTCAAGCGTATGAAAAACATTCTTCTTAAAAATATATTTAAAATAATTTTAAATTGAAAACGAAAATTTTAAACTAATTATTTGTAAGAAAATCATGAAAAATGACACATGGGCAAAGAAGCCCAAAGTTTCTAGTCTTATTACGACCGGCCTAACTGGCCAGCCCGATTAACATACCTCCGTGAGACACAAAATGTGATGTATTAATTAAGCAGAAGGGATTAAAAAGGGGAAAATTGTCATTTAAATCACCAACTTTCAAATTTGGTTGAAAAAAAGCATGAACTTTCCCTTGGACCATTTAAAGCACCAACTTAGTTTGAATAGCCATTTTAAACCTCAATTTAGTTTGACTAAACCAAATTAAGCACGACGTTAATTCGGTTAACGGATTGATTAAACGGTGTTAATCTCCGTCTCTAATCTTCTGTTAAGTCCCCGTTAAGTCCAAACGACGTCGTTTTAAAATTTTTAAAAATATTGTATCCAAAAGGAATCGAACCCATGACCGAAAGAAAATTCGTTTTCAATTCAGAACCACTAGACCACTTGCAATTTTCTTAACGTAAATGAATACTAATAGATATTATTATGAAATCTCCAAATCATTTTCTCCCACCCTAAATCCCTAAATGATTTTATAAATATTAAAAATTATAAATAACTTAATAATTAAAAAATTGCGTGAATATTATTAAAAATATTAAAACTTATAATAATTATTAAGTNTTTATTAATTATTGAATAAAATTATTTAATTATTAATTATTATTGAATAATTAATTATTAAGTATAATAACGAAAATTTAAATAATTAATAATAGTTAATGATTAAAATTTTTTGTTATTTAATATTTTTAATACTACTTATAAAGAACTTAATAATTATTATAAGTTTTAATATTTTTACTAAAATTAACTATTTTTTAATTATTAAGTTATTTATAACTTTTAACATTTATAAAATCATTTAGGGATTTAGGGTGGGAAAAAATGATTTGGAGGTTTCATAATAATATATATTAGTAATCATTCAAGTTACGAGAAATGCAAGTGGTCTAGTGGTTCTGTTTACAAAAGGAGTTTCATTCGGTCGCTGGTTCGAGTCCCATCGGATGCAATGTTTTTTAAAATTTTAAAACGACGTCGTTTAGACTTAACGGAAGATTAGAGGCAGAGATTAACACCGTTTAATCAATCCGTTAACTGAGTTAACGTCGTGCTTAATTTGGTTACGTCAAATTAAATTGAGGTTTAAAATGGTTATTCAAACTAAGTTGGTGCTTTAAATGGTCCAAGGGAAAGTTCATGCTTTTTTTCAACCAAATTTGAAAGTTGGTGATTTAAATGACAATTTTCCCGATTAAAAAGGTATATTCTTTTATTTTGTAAAACGACATCGTTTGAATTCAAACAAACTCAATAGCTTTTGTCGGAGAGAAGAAAATAAACTTGTCGCCTGAGAAACCGATTTCAATTAAATTTCCCGACAACACCAACAGAGAAGACGACGAACGGTAAGTCTTCCGACAAAACTCTGTATCCTAAAAATTTCTCAACTTGTATTAATCTGTTGGAATCTAAAGTCGTAATCTTTCTTTTGCTCTCGATCGATAGGAGAACTCCATAGTATTATATCATCGATTCATATTAGCCGTCGTATCTCCATTAGCGTGTTGTGTCGTATTTGAATCTTGGATTTTATTTTGCTAATTGCACAAACATTTAGCCGATTCACAGCTTCCTACGTCGATAAACAACAATGGTTAGACATTGTTGATTGTAGTGAAATTAGATAAAGGTCCGAACTTTCAATGCAATTTTGATTCAGAGGAACCATGTCGTGTCGTGTGTATCGAATGTTGATTTGATTTGAAAAAGTTTGTAATTGTTTGCTCGCCTATCTTCTCCGTGGACTCTTCTCAATGACAATGCTGCAATGACATAGCTTTGAGAGATGGGTGTGGTTTCTATAAATGTAATGTTTGTTAGTGTGAATCATTCTATTCTATCTCTCAGTGACATGTATTGGTTGTAAACATTTTCTTATATAGATGCTAGTTCTCTTCTAGTGATTAGTACAGCTTTTAGTTAAATAAACTTTTTTTTTATGATTATAGTTTTTATCAGTTTGCAGGTTTCGTTTTTATTTTTAAGAAGTTTGATATATGTATGTATGAAAATGGGCAGGGTTAAGGAAAAATGGTGGTGAAACCAACAGTAGCTTTGAGAGGTATTCTGGTAGGTGGAGTGGCGATATTCGCCAAAGTTGCAGGCGCAATGAAGGCAGCTGGAGGTGTAAAGCTAGGTGCAGCAGCTACAGCCATGACCGTGGCTGCAACTGCAGCTGTGTCTGGATCTAAGCAAGATCAAAAGGAAGATGTCTCCAAGAAGACACCACCTTCTAAATGAATAATATTTTACCCATCTTATGTAATTCTTCTTTCTTAAACCTAATCAATAAAAGAGGAGAAAACTTCATACTAGTTTTTTGAAGTATACTTTTGGTTTCTTCTGCAGAAAATTGTTATGGTGTTGAATATTTTTTATGAGTTTATACAACTTCTTACAAGCATTATTGTATAACATAAGGATTTGTAGAAGTTATTGTCTTTGACAAGCAAACAAAAACAAATCAGAAAATAGTGATTGTGGGATCACTTCATTAAAATCAGACAAAAAGCAAACCTTACAAGTGCAGAACACATCATGATTTTGACAAATTCATGGGTCCTTCAGTATTTGACATTTTTTTCATCAATAGTGTTTTTTTTACTTTTAACTGTACTGCAACAAAATAAAATAAAAAATCTGGTCTCTTCTGGTATGTGATCATCTTGCAAAAAACTCCTGAAAATGCATTTAGCAGGTGTCTCTATTCCTTTGTAGAGTGGTTATATGAATACACCTCTTAGTAACCAAGCATTTGTGATCATGTGCTAATTATAAAGTCTAAATAACTATCTAATCACTCTTGTTGAGCCTGAGTTATCCTTAGATTCTTCTCGCTAGTCATAACCCTTTCTTTTTCTATCATGGAACAATCCTGTCTTGTTTTAAATTATGTCACTGAAATCAAGTTAAAGCTTTCCTCAATATATGACAAAAAATGCATAACTGTTAATGTGTTTAGCTACAGAAATATGAAAATTGATGAAAAACATGTGTCACATCCGCCTCGTTGAAAAACAAGAAGACATCTTTATTTATTTCAATCATTTTCCACACTTTATTGCATGTGAAATATTATTCTTTATTTATTTGTTTTATTTAAAATATTAGTATTCTTTAGCGAAAACCACAAACTATAAAAATGATACATATTTATATTTAATGCGTAGAAGAAATTTTTTAAGTATGGTCAAATTTGAAGCACAATAATGAATTTTCTATTTCATTTTGTTGAGTTGAATTTACCATGATGTCGGGATATAATTTTATAAGACTTTAAAATTTTCAATTAGCAATATTAATTTAACTGATAAAGAGCTGCGAAGTGCAAACTAAATTAATCATCAATTTAATGAACGTTTAATTTAATGTGTACATATTATAAAGTTGTGGCCATGTGTGGCATGTACTGATGTACAAAAGTTTCAGAAACGCCACCTAGCAAACTCGATGAATGATGCGTCTTTATCTATTGTTGGATCCCACTTTCGTGCCTGCATGAGATGTGATCTAATAAGAAAAGAAAAATATGATAGTATATATATTACATATATTATATATGTAGAGATCGACACATTTGTATATATATTTTTTCCTCAAATAAAAAGATACATTTTGATTATTTGAAAAGGTTTATAAAGCAAAGATGAGCTAACTTATTATTAGATCGAATCCAATGCATATCCTCCTCTTTACTTTATGCTTTCATAATCAATTTCTTATATACCAATCTTTCTTCTCTTTACTTTGTTCACTTCCCTTGCAGGTTTCAGTTGCCTAATCATTTTGCAAATGATCAGACATTAAAATACAACCAAAAAGACGGTATTCTTTAAAAACTCGCCTCTCTTAACAGTCGTTGAGTTTTTTTAATATAAACAAAAAAATAAAAAGCAAAATAGACGAATACGTGACAAATTTCATCAAATATTTTTGTATAAACGTGCACCATTTAGTTTTGTTTCTCCTTTGGTGAATATTCAGCATATAATATTTATAAAACGAAGAACAAAATAAGATGAACAAGATTATAGGAATATAAAACTAGATATTTATATTTATATTTATATTATATAAGCAAAGAAACTAACTAAACTAACCCTGCCAAGGCTTTGGATGAAGGTGATCGGAAGCAGCGTCACTGATACAATTCCCGAGACCGGCAAAACTTAGAATCTCGTTATGAGACATCAACGGTCTTAGCCCCAAGAAGTCTCTCGTTAAACCCTCTCTTCCTCCACCGCCTTCACCGCTTTTATTCTTGTCTGATCCTGCGGTTGTAGTATCAGCGTTTGTCCTCAAGAGCCCGTCCAATGTGTCTTCGAAGGCTTCTTCTCCACCGTGATGGTTTAACATGGAGGCGTTGTAGTCTTGAAACAAAACTTGATCGTTATTGTTTGAGCTCATGAATCCAGACGGTGACGTCATCATCGCCGCCATTGTCGTGGTGAGGTTGTTGTGATGAGCTGAACTATCGAAGTCTATGGTTTGTGGCAAAGGGTTTGTTTTTGTGGAACCCATTTGTGCTGCTTTTTGGAGTAATGCGGTGGCTGACATAGCCGGAGAAGCTGCATGAGAGAACAAACCTCCTCGTCCATCATTACTAGGGTTAGGGTTTGAATATGTGAGATCTTGTGGCTGAGGAGCAAGCCAAGAAGGGACGCCATGGTGGTGGTAATTGATGATTTGATCATTGGTTTGTTGTTGCTCTTTCTTCATGGGAAATGTATGGAGATGGTTGCTGCTACAGTTACTATTATTACTACCATTATTGTTGGTTGCGACGTGAAGACTATTGATGATGTTGTGGGAAGAGGAAGACGAGGAAGAGATGTTCATGTTTGGTTGTGCTTGGTGAATCATAAGAGGGTTTGGTTGATGATTCTGGTTTTGTGGTGCTACTACTTCTTTGGCAGTCTCTTCGGCTAGTGCTTCACAAAATGCTCTATGAGTTATGTAACTATCTCTCCTGTTTATTTACCAAACAACAAAACCATAAAATGATCAATAATAATGTGAATAATTAATACAAAGAAATGTACACGTAGAGGAGCAATATGAAAGTTGTGGTCCATCTATAGCATGTAGCAATCACAATGTATTGTAAGATGAATGATAAATGCAAGAAAAGGAGAAAAATAACATAACAGTTTTTTTAAGAGAAGAAATGGAAGAAAAGTACCCTGAACTAGTTTCATATTATAAATGAAGATTCTTTTGAGCTACCATTCTAGTGTCCTTTTTCAAATTAAATGAAATCACTCATATCAAAATGGAATAGTTTGTACGATCTGTCCTTCAGTTCTTACACCACCATACCATATCCCAAATTCAAAAACAGTACTAATTGTAATTACTATGTATTCTAGAATAATTTAATAAATATAAATATAATTAAAAGGAGTTTATTTACCTAGAAAAGAGAGTGCCACAGTCACATCTGTATTCTTTGGTGCCGCAAGTCTTAGAATGAGCCTTGCAATCTGATTGAACAGCATATTTCTTTGAACATTTGTCACATTTCCACTTCTTCTCTCCATGTTTTCTGCAGAAATGCTTCTTGATTCCGGTTAAGTCACCGAGGGCTCGAGATGGGTCATGGTGGACACAGCTTGTTTCTGGACAAACATACACTTTCTTCCTTATCACTTCTTTGTTGGATCGTTGCTTCAGCTTCCATGGCAGATTGTGACCTCTCCTATGAAGCTGTAGATTCTGGTCTCTTTGGAATCCTTTGTTGCAGATCTCACAGACGAATCTGTTTGTTGCCATTAGTGTTTTTGGTGACAAAGCAATCACTTCTGATTCTGGGTCTGAAATGAAAAATAATGAAAGTTAAAATCATCTTCGTATGAACTCAAGAAACACTAGTAATAATGTTTTTTTGATAATGGGTAAATTAACACTAACAAAGTTGCGATTGGTGTTTAACATAATACAGTAATTATATTGAGGAAAACTATATTTACCACGCACAAGAAAATCTGAACATTATGCATGTTTTATAAACAGATTTTAAGGAAAATACTAAAAGTTATAGTTTTTCTTTTTGATCTGGATTTTTGGTTTTTATTTTGTTTCTTTTCTCTTTGTCTAGTATAGAGGTAATAAAGAGAACAAAAAGGGTAAAAGAATATTCTTTTTGGTAGAAGACCCATAATTTTCCAAGAAGATGACTGTATCAAATAATTGGAATGGTGAGTAAGTCCAAAACAAAGAAAAAAGATGTGAATTTTTCTTTTTCTTTTAACCATTCTTTTCACACGAACCTGGATTCCCTGGTTGGTTTCTTTTCTTCTTTGGAGGCTGAGATTCAGGAGCAAAGAACTGTTGTTGTTCTTCTTGTTGTAGTTGATGATGAGGAAAGTAATTAGAACCGCTTGCTTCAGTTCTGTTTCCTGAAGAGGCACTTGCTTGATCCCCAGAGGCTGATGTTAGATTCGACATATTCTCCTCTTGTTGTTGCTGATGAAGCATGTCTTTGCTCATCATCACTGAAACCTTGAGAGGAAAAAATAAGAAGTTAAGAAACTGACAAACTTTTACCAGATCTATATGTATACTGAAGGGAGACAAAAGATTAAACAGATACATACAAGAAATGAGCCTCTATATATATAATCCTAATTAACCTCCATCTTTGATTTCTGCATGTGTATAAATATATATATAAACTTCCTTCTTTGGCTTCAACCTAAGAGACAACCTCTATCCACTTTTCTGGTTCATATTTGAAATCAATGAGAATTAGTCTCAGTAAAACAAAATAGAAGTAGGAACAAATTACTTAGAACATGAACTTGAAAATATATATTTGTTTTAAAGAAAACATAAGAAGGAAGAAAATTTAATATACCTAGAAGTAGAACTAGAAAGAGAGAGAGAGATTGTGGACAAGAGAAACTCTTTTATCTTCCTCTGTGTATTTGAAACACCACAATCAAAAATATAAAATAAAATACTGAAAAAATAAAAGGAACCCTACCGCTTAGAAAAAAATGGCATTTTTCTGCTCGTTTTATATATTTTCTCTTACAACCAAAGAGCAATATGTCCTTTCTTTATCATTACCTGCAAATTTGTTTTCCGTGTTTTTTAATTTTTTTTTTGCAAATTTTTTTTTCTTATTTATTTATTTTTCGTAAAGCTAAAAACATTCTCACAATCATACCCAGAAAAAAAACTTTCTCACAAGCTTTGCAATTTTGTACTAGTAGTTTTTAGCCTCTCGAGAAGCAGTATACATATTTGAATATATTTAGTCCATTATTTTGCTTAGGAGTGATAAATTTCACTGTTTTTCTTACTCTTCATGAATCAGAATCACTAGTTTATTTCACACATTTGTGACAGAAATACTTCTTTATGCACTACAATAACTGATGACCAAAATACTGAAGTATGATACAGCTTCTATATTATCTACTTATTCAACGTAATTAATTTCTGATTTGAAGTTTATTATGTTTACAGCTTTACATTGTCGTTTACAGAACTAAGCTATGATTGAGCCATTGATTAATATTTGAGGTTTTGATAAAAGGTAACCTTTCTATTGCATCTTTTTTTTTTTGAGTTGATGCTTTTCATGTTATGTAAAAAAGCAATGAGAGAGTTCACATTGAGTAAATGGATTGATGAAAAGAAGTTTTAAATGGATTAATCATTGTCAGTGCCGCATGCCCTAACTTACTATATCTATACGTAGATGTGTAGATGCAAACGTTAAAATAAAATCTAATCGGAAAACGAATGATAGAGATTAGAGAAGTAGTGGAAATTTTTTCCACATTCTAATTAGAAGGCCGTCTAGCCAAGCCCTTTTTCAACAAAAAAAAGGCCGTCTAGCCAATAAAAGTCATGCTATGCAAATAAGATAAGATAATAAATAAATAGTGATCTTTTTTTAGCAAGAAGAAATAGTGATCATAATTTGAAATGACATTGGAAACATAGTAACCTACTGGTTAAAGTTTAAAGACTCTACATCCAGGTCTGTAGCTTGTATTCCAAATTATGTAATTTTTTACAGATTAAAGGAAATCTAGATTTCAAGTCCTAGAAATAACGATTTATTAATGTAGATTACGGAGAAAAAAGTTTACAAGAAATCTTCAACATGATGCAAGTAAATATGGTCAGGAGTGAATTTCATAGAACGGCTCAGATGATGTAGTTAGACGTGGATCCTTATAAAAAAAATAGTATGGTCAATTGTCAAGTTATCTATGTAATATTTTTCATAAATATAATATCATAATAAATGAGTGTTATAAAAAAAAATTGAAATGACATGAGAAGCTAATGAACAACAAAGACCAAAACATAATATCGGATTATCTTTATAAAAACTATAAGTAGTTGACAAAATTGTCAACACAATCCGTTTAGTCCAATTAAAGTGCCTAACTATGTACTTCGTGATCCACTTTCAAGTAAATTATAGAATTCAAAAACATAAGAACTTGTAGGATTTGAAATAGTTCGAGTTGTTGACCTTTTTAGCATGTATATTTCATTTCATTTTACACGTTAAGTGGGAACTGTAGAATAAATTAGGACACGGGAGATGCATACCATGTAAAAACACAAACGGAGTAATGATTTTTATTGATCGCCTTATAAAAGATAATCATAGGTAAATGTTACATTTAAAAGATAATCCGAATACCACATAAAAGCACACCAACAGATTAATTGGATTGTCAAAGTATATATTTTATATAAAAACATAACAATATAAAAACGTTTTCGTCTTTTTGTTCTGTTCTTTTATTCCACAATTATTTAGCTTTTCTTAACGTGATTTGTCCGATCACCATCCCAATATGTAGCACCAGCTCATCCCACACATCAAAATAACTTTAACCATTAAGTTTATCTAAAATGTGATCAACTCTGAATCTAACCTTTTTCTTTTGATGATATAGAACACACAATCACGTGGTCATATGGTCTAAACTAAATCTCCTTAAATAGTAAGCATATGCAAATCACACACACAGGGAAAGATTTTAAATTAATGACGTTACTCTCGTAAAATAGAACCAAAAAAACATTAAGCCACGTCCATTTTCAGTAAACTAGAAGCAAAACAGTAAGGCTGACACTAAAATAAAATACTAGTACAGATGAAACTTGGATAGGCATGTATAAATTATTTTACTCAACTGTCCAGAAATTATGGGTCTAGAAAAGATTATACGTCCCTGTCTCCATGTCAGCTATGCATGGCCTAGCTTACATTATGTAACAAATATCATATTCTGACACCACATAAACAACCATTTTCTATATCATTAGAGAACATGCATGTGTTAACAAGTTTGATGATAGTAATGACTGATTATGATGATACATGACAGATCTGGACGTTCAACTAAAAACCAATGTCTGATTGATTTCATTTTCTCACTTGCCTACAAAGTTAAGGTCTGAATTTTCCAGAATGACGACGAACATAAATATGTAATCATGTTAATTATATTAAAATAAAATAAATGGGAAGGTTTGTGAGTTACAGTGTACAGAGTCATCAATCAATTCGCAGCGAGATCACGAGCGGAGCATATATGAGGAAATAGTAGGGCCGTTTAATTATGAAAATGATTGAGCTAACACATGGACCCCTATATAACAATCAACTAAATACAATAATGATTAACAAGAGTAATTAAATTTCTTATAACAATCTTAGAGCACCTCCATCCATTGGAACCTCTTATGGGTTCTTTAGATTAATTTAAGAGTTAATAAGGTGATTTGAAAGCTGAAGAACCTAGGTAAGTGTTAATTAATTTTTTGACCTCCAATGGGAGAATCTCATAGGGGTTCTTAAAAAATAAGAATATGTATAGCATAGAAAAAAGGGATCACATTGCAGTCTAGCATAACCAAATTAAACATGATGACTCTTACCACCACAAAGCAGCGTTGTGATCTGAGTAGTAGACTTGATTAACATGTCCTTCTTGTCACAAGCTTCACCTGCAAAAACTGAAGCGTGGTGAGTCACAAGCAATAAGAGCACATATAAGAAAAATACAGAGCACATATAAGAAGAGAACCCAATTTTTTTTTAAAAGAATGGAACTATCATCTTCTCTTTTACCTCCTCTTGTTAGCTTCAAAGGGTTTACTCAATACTTTTGTCACCACAGAATCATGGGGCAAAAAGATGCGAACCGCCAACAAGATTCAAGACATCAAACTGAAACGTAAAACAGACACAAACTCAGACATTAAACTAACAAACGCAGACATTAAACTGAAACATAAACAAACTCAATCTCAAACTAGCTTGCCAACATGAAATTAAGAAAGCCTCAACCATTTCTAACCATCTCCAAATCCAAATTAAGAAAACTATTACAGTGCACACACACATAAAGAAAGAGTTTAAGAGTCAGTTTGTTGAAAAATATCAACCAAGATTGGTATTGCTTTGATCCGAACGGTTTATAACTATGATCAAACTGTGAAATCTGAAATAAACTTATTAATGCAAGCAAAGTTTGTGAGATTTACCTATGCCTCGATATAGCCCACGTACTCCCCCTTCTTTATAAGCCATTGTAAGCACCTCTTTTATCCCTGAATATGTATGTTGGCGGTAAACTCCACTAGTACCACCTCGGAAACTTTGACTTGCGTCAGAAACCTACAATATAATAATAACAGCATCAGAAGGGAAAACGAAAAAGAAATTCTTCATTCTCAGTTAACCAATAACAAAAATCTGAGACATGCATAGTAAAATCTCATCATCTGAACAAAAAATTTCAAAGCTTTATGGAAGGAATTCAATTGACGGGAACAAATATATAATAGAAAAAAACCTTCATGGTGATCGCATGGACGATTCTGGAGAACAACGTCGACGAAGAAAGAAACGAATCTCCGTTGGATATTTCGACATAACCGACGAAATCGAACAAGAGACACTCAGTTTCGACGACGAACCGACGAGGAAGAGAGGAAGAGGATGATAATCATCTCCATGAGATTTCGGAATCAACAGAGATCAGCTGGGATCGAAGATGAGAGACACCACCGTCTACGAAAGAGAAAGACACCATTTTTGTCCCCTTCCGTGTAAAAGGAACTGCCCAATATGAGTGTGCCACGTATGGGGTTTTTACCTTCTCTTAAACCTCCTTATAAGGCAGCGGTTCTGTAGAATTAACCCATTTTTGATTTATTTTTTTCACTTTATTCTTTAAGAACCCCCTCCTAATCCCATCGATGGAGGTGGTCTTACCTAACTTTCAAAGCATATAGTTTTATTTTTGCCTACGTCGCTTTCCACCACTTACCGTAGTAACACATGCACAACCTCAACTGATTTTTGTTAAATCTACCTATATACAGCGGAAGTCTAATAGTTGTCCGTTTACAGTTTTGAATTTTCAAAATACATAATTTAGTTTAGAAGAAGGGATATATTTAATTTTCAGGAAACTCTATCATGTCACCTTCGGTAAATAGACACGCGTGAAAACTACACGTCGAGTGGACCGTACTGGACCGACACGGACACGGACACGTGGGAAGATATAATTGGATTCTGAGCAGAACAGAGCCATGCAGTCTGGTCGTCGACTTGGCCAGCGCCCTTAAGAACACACCCGTTTTCCGTTTATGGTCTTCCTCATGCCACTGTCACTGTTCGTCACCGTTTGGCTGGTCCCCCATACGGACAAGACAGAAAGCAAACCATTTACCCAAACCGGTTCGAGTCAACCAAAACATATTAATACCAGACACATTAAATCGCTTACAATGAAAATTTATCGGGTAAGGTTTTGTGAACAGACGGAAAAATAACATACCACGCTTGTAAGTAAGGGCAGCTTTACTACGAGTCCTGGTGTCATCTAGCAAATCAGTTAGAGGGAGTGTTTTGGTCTCCATGGGGTCTTAAGTTTCTTGTCATCTTCCCCATGGACTACACACCAAATTTAACATAGTCAACTCTAGGGTAAGTTAAAGCCTTTTCGAAAAAGTAAAAACTCTAGGGTAAGTTTTATCATTTCTGGAAGCCAACCTGCTTTTATGGCAGCCTGAATGAGAACAGGATGTGCACAATTACGGTTCAGAGCTTAAGTCAAGATATAACATGTCACAAATTAACATCAAATAATAATAAAATATCAAACCTACTTTGAAGAAATTTTCGAAGTGCTTTGCCTGGACATCATATGTCACATAAATAATCCACTCAGCTTTCTCTTCATTGCATGTATTTTTTTTCCATCAGCAGAAAAACTCATTCAACAGTATGCATGTTTTTATAGAATAAAGAAAAACTCATCAAAGTCTGTTGTGTCATAGGTAAAAGCACCATCATCACTCTTTATTACAAGCATGAGTGTGTCTGAGTCTCTCTTTTTTTTTGTTAATCAGAGGAGCTTCCCCTTGACTTTAAATCACACGAGCTCCCTCACTGTTTGTAGATCACCAATGGATATCTCACCCGCATGATCTGAATCAGGGAATTTCTCAAAGAGGTACTCAATTAACATTCCAAACTGCAGAACAAGCGCAGACTTTAGTCTATTTGAATCCACAGCAACACTCTGTTTTCAACGTTAAAGAAACAACTACAAGAGAATATGTGTCGGTCCACCAGTCACCAACATGGTTTTTGCGTGGAACTTCTCTACATTTGAGTACTCTAGCATTCAAGCTATGGTGTCACCGATGATTTTCTTGGAAATGTTTGGAGAGGAAAAAATCAATAACTGCTCTCTTAAGTCTTAACCGATAGAGTAGGCTCCCATGTCTCATTCCCGTTAATAATGTCAATGCTCTGTAGATAGATTGTAAACAATTATGTTAAACCATATTATGCATGAGAGCTATAAAATAAACTATACAAGTGACAACAGACCTTGGCTAATCACTTAGTTTTTTTTGGTATGAATGTTAAGAGCTAACCACTTAGTTGATAGTACAACATTAATAAACCCAGGGCCAGTCACAGAACATGAACTCCACCATCTCAGAAGTAGGGAGTTTCTCAACAAATAGCCTATGTGAAGAATCTGCTACTACACACGACATACAACAAACAAAAGCCAATAAATTCAAAAGAGACCACAACACAAAGCAACCTGTCCAAGAGCTAGAGCACTCGTTATCTGTGTACCATTCCTCTAATTCTAGGCCACAGACTCATTACATTGTCACTGCAGGCAACAGCATTGAGGTAAGGAACTAAAGGAACATTATATTAAAAGCGAAAGAGGGAGAAACCATTAGTAATCTTCTTTTCTTTTCTCAATAGCAATCTTGTGCTTAACACCAGGTACATCAGGGACTATTAACTTCAGCAACGCATCAAAAGATCTCTTCAAGTTTCTGTTTAACAATTCCTGTGGATTCTTCTTTCTGTGTCACAGCTACCAAAAATAAATATATCAGTCATGAAACAGAGGAAAGACAGAATATATCTGATGTTTGAACTTTCTTGTAGATTAAAAATGGGTAAATAAAGACTTTTACATTATTTATATATATTTTGAATCATAAACCAGCAGAAATCAAAAATCTTTTAAAGCAACTGAAGAACTAAATCTAATGTCCCTGACTCACTGACCCAAAACATAGACATGTAAACATTATTCAGACACGAGCCAAACTCTAAAACATGAGTAGGTAAGGAGCAAATGGTTATACTGATGATGGACTAGCAACACTGACATGCTCAGTAAAACCTGTTGGAGCTTGTTCCTCAACCAGCGCAGCCACTGGTGCATAAGTCTGTGGTGAGCGGCATGTCTGAGAAGTATGTGCGCCGCGAGGAGAGGGAGCCTGATGAGTATAAAAGACTTGTTTGGGTTTGTGGATGAATATACCCATAATGAGTTTGTGGTGGGCGACATAGCGCAAGAGGAATATAGCCAGAGGAGGGAGCCTGAGTATATGCGCCACAAGGAGGATTATAGCCAGCAAGAGGCTGATCAATGTTCCTTGGAGGTGGCAGAACTGACACCAAATGCAACAGTTCTCTGATCAACTCTTTTGACGGTTTCACGTGGTCAAGTGCTTCCACTACTATATATACTCCTAGCTTTGTCAGCATCATTTAAAGCCAAGTATGAAAATTTCGAATACTGAGCATACAGCAACAGCAGTAATATAGAGTCCTTTTTGCTTCTTTCAGTAGCAATCACATAGTCATACACAGAGCAAGCACCATCCAAATTATTTCCATTGCGATGTTCCATGTTGGCATGTCTCGTTACTGCTTCAACATGTCCTGGTGATATTTCAGAATACAGTAGTTTGAAAGAGGCTCTAGCAGCGGTTATATCCTCATTCTTCTAATTAAATTCAGCTGCAAAGAGATGGATTTTTAGAGCTATCCTCTCTGTCTCTTCAATTAGTGCAATCCACGCATAGAACGCTGAAGGGTTATCCTTAGCAGAATTCCATAGGAGCACCTCCGAAGGTGTAAGCGTAGAGCCAGAGTTGTCTCCTTCATGGCCACAATATATATATGCTTCGCTTATATTTATTTCCTTTATTTGAATTAGAGTTTTACATTTATTTATTATTTATTGCCACACTGTTCCTTCTCATATATGTATTTCACTGGGTGATTACCTGCGCTCATACGTAAGATGAAATTCATATACAAAAAATTATTTGAACACTAACTTTGATGGTTTAACCATCGTTTCTTAAGTTCCTAAACATATAATCATGTACCATTGATATAAGGTTGTTGAGTATTGGATTAAATTGATATTTTTTTCAAACCTATTTAACTCACATTGGGTTTCATTCATATCACGGGGATGTTACCATTCACATTCTCACTCAGTATAAAAAATTGTATTTCTAAAATGATATGATCAAATAACAATTGAGATTCGCACTTACGCGGAATGAGTATTAATTAGGTGTTGCTAAAAAGAGAACATTAATTATATATACAAATTATTTACACATTATTTTATTGTTCATTTACGTCATACAATAATAAATATATTAAATAATTGAGAATTAAGTAGTTGTTACATATATATAATTAAATTGGAGTAAGCATAAATAAAGAAAAATAATCTCTTTTTTATTTACAATAATTTTGTTGGTAAAAAAACAAAACAATCATTTACTTATTTTATACGGCATATAAATAAAATTAAACAATATTGACATAGATATATAATATATTTTAATAGGAATATTTATTATTGAGGCTTCTTACTCAATGCAAAATTTGAAATTAACACTTTTATGTATATAATATATGATATTTATACTATTTAAACGATACTGAAATATATATATATATATAATCTGATTATATATTAAATGAGATTTTATATTTATATGATTTTATAATCATTTTTATTTTATTATAAAAAAGTTAAACCCTTGATCACAAAATTTTTATTGTGGGATTTTAATAGTTTTAATTATTTATAGTCCGGAAGAGAACTTTGATTCGCCCGGCCAGCAGGCGCGCGGCGTGCTTATCATTTAAAAAATTCAAAATATAGCATATAATTAAAAATCTAAATTTTGATTATATGATTAATGTGATTGTTTAAGATCTTAAGAATAAATAATTAAATAAAAAATGATGGAGGGTACAAAAATTGTTATCAAATATTTATTATTCAAAATCATTAATTATCATATATATATATATATTAAACATATTAGGTAATTCTGTAATTTTCATTTAAGGAAAAAATGTAGAATATTCTTTTGTACACTACCAATTAATTTGATAATTATTTTAATAAAAACTATAACATATGTTTAGGTAGACTAATTTTTTTTTCTTAAAATACTAAAAAGCATTATGTGATGATATGTGGTTACAAAAACATGTTGTAATGCTTTTCAATTAATATATATGAGGTTATTTGGATTTTAAGGCAATTTATTAGCATGCAACTAACACATTAGTTAATCTATATTGGAGCAGCTAGCCTCCTCTAATAGAATGATGAATTGATGAATAAGACACATAATGACAAATAGTTATTAGACAGGCTGCTATAAAAGGTAATGAAAAAAAATGTTGAGCAGGAGGACACAGACACAGCTTCTTAGCTTTGCTCTTTGATGCGTTTGCCCCACCAAAGCGTTTATCATCGGTTGGTGTCTTAACACAAACCCTATTGCTCTTCTCTGCAATCAGTCATTGGAGAGTAGAGACCACCACAGACTGTTCTACGTACTGCCCTTTCAGCTGGTTTATCTTGGAGTCGATTAGGATTGGGATAAGTTATCTAAATTCCTTTCGTACCTGAGACTCCATCAGTTTCATCTCAAATAATGATATAGAAAATAAAACCGTAGTCATTATCTATTTAATAAATGACGTCTCATACATGATACCAGTATTATTTTTCTCCATTATTTGATTTGAAAATGGTCGATTTAATATTTTTATATTCACACAAAAGGTCCAAATAGTTGACGGAAGCAAAGTTAGATAAAGAACAAAAGATTCTGAAATTATGGAAACTTTTGAAAATATCAAACTGAAGACAAATAAGTAACATAAAGAAACATATGAATGATGTAGTAAAATATGTGTAATTTCGTCAAGGTTTTTCTACTCAAAGACGCAAGTTTTGTCAAAATCGTATGCTGACTGTTGTCGCTTGAAACAGGAATATATCAATTGTTATCATCAATTTACATATTTATATTTTTATTCCGTGACATAAAAACATATTTATAATTTCCACATATCTCATTCGGAGATATTTTAAGCTATTTAAACACTTTCACAGCTTTTTTTAACAGCTTTGCTTGTGTATGTTTTTCCTTGTAACGGAATGGACATGTAGTCAACTTTGATGCCCTGAGAAATCTATAAATGGTTGTAGGTGATTGTTTAATCAATGTGAAACAAAATTATAAGACCTTGTTGATAAAATATCATTTTATTTCTCCGGAAAATAATGTTCATATAGTCAATTAGCCATATGCTGTTTTTATATATTATATCACAAAAGGGAAACTATCTTGCTATCTTTTCTGCCAATAATATGCTTAATTTATACGTCATATGTTTCGTATGGGGTGGAAACAGAAACTTATAACATATGATATAGCACGTCAATTTAAAAAGGAATAAGGTACATGGTTCGGTCGACGTACCAACTATAAATTTTCTTTAAATTGCAATTTTTTTGGGTTAGTTAAACAACAAAAGAAAATAAAAAAGCTTTTAACATTACTCTGACTTGACAGAGTATATTGAATATCGTTTTTGACCACCATAGTGTGGACTCAGTTATATGATAGTAAAACCATTTGTCCAACGATAAATTGTGGAATAAAATTGGATATAGTAGAATCAAAAGACAATACAGCCACTACAATATCTTTTGCACATTTTACTTCTTTAGCAAGATAAGTTATCAGCTATTTTAGGCTATTTCTATTTTTCGCATGACTTTCACCAGATAGAGCAACACATGTTTTTCGGAGCAGCTGCTTCTATTGCATGAGCAAACAAATATTAGTTAACCGTGAACTAATCCAAAACTTACAAAAATCATTTTTTTTTTTGAACTGGTCTTCTTGAAACAAACTAGTTATAACTCGTTAAGATATTTGTAATCGGAATATGCACTGAACGGAATTCCTCATATGCGTGGTTAAAGCTGTCACCCAAAGATATTAGTGGACTTTTTTACATCAGATATAATTCTATTACTCAAACTAGATACTAGGTGTGGTTAGTAACTAGATCGATGTATTGGTGGTTAAAAGGATTCGGATTGGTGTATTGTATGGAGACGTTAGGGGACGTGGTACTTTCTGTTTTTGGTATGTCAAAAGACTATAAAGTTGTATCGAAATGTGAAGGAGGATACTTCAAATTAAAGGGACAAAGGTAGAGTCCAAACTTTGACTTTTCCACTATATTGTATTCAAACATTTAATCACTTTTTCATATGTTCATTTTCTTAAATCTTTTTGCCTCGTGTATGGACGGATGGTGGAGAACGGAGAGACACGTTCTTATGAACTGTTTTGACTTCTTAACTTCCGTGTGAATCACCAAATTTGTTATTGAGTAGATAATTATTATCGTTTTGTACTGAATATATATAGGCGTTTCTTAACATTACCAGTATATATGGACCGGAATACGATCAAATGTGATATATATTGAAGATGTTAGACTCCCGTAAGCATATTTTGATAGCCCAAAATAGTTGACTTCTTGTCAACTAGTTTTTAGCCTAACTCTCTCTTCTCCATGCCTTTATCGAGCTTAAACTTGTCACGTTGGACCTGCCTAATTGCCTTCGCGAACCAGATAATACTACTTGACTAGCGGAATGGGATAAAACATTTTTATATAGAACTTCTAGTTTCACCTATCCAAATTTGATTTTAATATGTAACCCGAAACGCTAATAGCTAAGATATATATATATATATAATATATATATATATATATATATATATATATTAGATTAACAACAAATTTCTCTGACGTACAACTATTGAATATTACATTTTCAGTTTTTATTAAAATTTATCCCCCCAAATTACTCTGTACAAATGCTTACCACTTTTAGTTTAATTCTCCAAAACATTATCTTTCTATACTTTATAAATTGTACGTTTCGATATGGTTTCTAAGAGTTTGGTACGAAGTCCTAAACCGTTTAATTAAGACTCGTTAATCTTTTTAAAACAACGAAAATTATTGGAAACAACTTGTTTAGATGTCTGACTTATAGCAGTACGTATGAACCTTCATTATTAACATAAAGCCAACAAACAAAGAAAACACATTTACAAATATTATATTCACTTTTTTTTATTGACAGGCTTGCCTTCCTCATTTGCCTATAAATTTCACATGATCCATGTCTTCCTTCAAACAACACCTTAAACAAAACACAACACAATGACCAAAGAAGTTCACTCCAAGATTGGAGTTTGGTTGTTATTCACCTTACTTATTAGTAACTATGTCGTCGATCTCGAAGCCTCACACCATGTCTACAAGAGACTTACTCAAAGCACTAAGATCAAATCTCCTTCTGTAAACCAGCCCTACCGGACCGGTTTCCATTTTCAACCACCCAAAAATTGGATGAACGGTATGTTAAATACTACCATATCAATCTCAATCTCACTTCCATATTGGTTTCATTCCTCTCTAATGTTTGGTTCCTTCATTATGGTTCGTGCTTGGACAAATTGGCTTGATCTTTGGCTGTGAACAGATCCAAATGGTTAGTTTTTTTTCTTCTCTTGCTTTAGTCAACTCATCATATCCAATAGACAGATTATTTTCCCTAGAAACTAGTAATTTTCTTATTTTTTAAAAACATTAATTATACCAATAAGTCAGCATACCAACCGTATATTTGATTTTTCTAAAGTTGGTCGACCTTTTATTACGCTGCACCACGAGGCTTACATGTAACCATATAATAAACATTTCAAATGTATACAGGCCCTATGATATACAAAGGAATATATCATCTTTTCTACCAATGGAACCCGAAAGGCGCCGTGTGGGGTAACATCGTATGGGCCCATTCCACGTCAACAGATTTAATAAACTGGGACCCACATCCTCCAGCTATCTTCCCATCTGAACCGTTCGATATCAACGGATGCTGGTCTGGTTCGGCTACAATTCTCCCCAACGGCAAACCGGTTATCCTCTATACCGGAATCAACCCCAAGAACCAACAGGTCCAAAACATAGCCGAGCCCAAGAATCTCTCCGACCCATATCTCGTAGAATGGACCAAGTCTCCTTTAAACCCTCTGATGGCTCCTGACGCCGTCAACGGCATCAACGCCAGCTCGTTCCGTGACCCAACCACCGCGTGGTTAGGCCACGACAAGAAATGGAGAGTGATCATAGGAAGCAAGATCCACCGTCGTGGACTAGCGATCACTTACACTAGCAAAGACTTTCTAAAATGGGAAAAATCTACCGAGCCGTTGCATTACGACGACGGAAGTGGAATGTGGGAGTGTCCTGATTTTTTCCCCGTGACTAGGTTTGGGTCTAAAGGCGTGGAAACGTCTTCTTTTGGTGGACCTAATGAGATTTTGAAGCACGTGTTGAAAGTTAGCTTGGATGACACGAAACATGATTATTACACTATTGGTACGTACGATAGGGTTGGAGATAAGTTCGTACCCGACAAGGGTTTTAAGATGGACAGTTCGGCTCCTAGATATGATTATGGGAAGTATTACGCGTCGAAAACGTTTTATGACTCGGCTAAGAACAGGAGAGTGTTGTGGGGTTGGACTAACGAGTCATCATCGGTTGAGGATGATGTTGAGAAAGGCTGGTCCGGTATTCAGGTAAGTTTTTAGATTGAGTTTAAATTAAGTAAGCATAGTTTGGTTGAATATTTAATAATTTTTTTTAATTAGACGATTCCGAGGAAAATTTGGCTTGATCGGTCCGGGAAGCAGTTGATTCAATGGCCGGTTAGGGAAGTAGAGAGATTACGTACGAATCAAGTCAACTTACGGAACAAAGTTCTAGATTCAAGATCTAGACTAGAAGTCTATGGTGTGACAGCTTCACAGGTGCGTTTATTTTATATAACTTTTTTAGTGATTACTGATTAGTATTAGAAAATACGACTTTTAAAAATGTTTTTTTAATGAACCATTTGACATTAAAATCTTGTGATTGATACAGGCAGATGTGGAGGTTTTGTTCAAAGTGAGAGATTTGGAGAAAGCGGATGTGATAGAACCGAGTTGGACTGATCCACAATTGATCTGTAGTCAGATGAATGTATCGGTTAAGTCTGGTTTAGGTTCATTCGGTTTAATGGTTCTTGCATCTAAGAACTTGGAAGAGTACACATCGGTTTATTTTAGAATCTTCAAAGCTAGTCAAAATAGCAATAAGTACGTTGTGGTCATGTGCAGTGACCAAAGCAGGTACGTTTCCTTCATCAAGATCCCTATTATATCTTCTAAATATAGGATAATCTTTTGTCACATATTTAAATTTAATTTTGCAAAAGTCATATACGTCAAAATTGAAATATCTTGAAAAAATATTGATGAAATATCCACAGTTTGACTTTCTAATCTTGTGGCCTTTTGGTGATGCTGAATTTGGGACAGATCTTCACTGGAGGAAGATAATGACAAAACAACTTATGGAGCGTTTTTGGATGTTAATCCTCGCCAACCACTCTCCCTCAGAGCATTGGTATTTACACATACTTTTGTATATAAGCTATACTATTTCAGGTGTCAAAAACGCAAATCTGAAAAGAACAGATACGCCACCTTTTGAGAGTATCCTTTAAAACCTCAAGAACTAATTGTGAAATAGCCTAATTAGCTCTGGTCAAGACTATATAGTCTTTATCTTGTTTAAAACCAAAGAGAATATTTCTGTTGTAGAGTTCTTAGAGAAGCTTTTTAATATTTTTGTTGTTGTTGTAGATTGATAATTCAGTAGTGGAGAGTTTCGGTGGAAGAGGAAGAGCATGTATTACCTCCAGAGTGTATCCAAAACTGGCAATAGGAAAAAGTTCACATCTATTTGCTTTTAATTATGGGTCTCAAAGTGTGGATGTCTTAAGCCTAAGCGCTTGGAGCATGAAGTCTGCACAAATCAGTTGATCACATAAGGCGGAGATAGACAGACACACACATATGTATATGCATATCTCCATTTGTTGAGAATTTATATAATTATATGATAAGATTTTGAACATCTTATAAGGTCCAGTTTGTTTGGTTGTCAAAATAGAGTCAAATTTGTTTGTTTGAGATAATTTTCAAGCTATATGACATTTTGTTTCACTTCTCATAGTGTTGGCTTACTATTTTAAATTTACAAGTTTCTTGTCGGTAGCCTATTATGGGGTGGTTATTATTGGATCATTATCCTTGTATGTATTTTCTAGGATAATGATGTTAGTTGTGATAAGTCCAAATATGTGTTCGATAAGGACTTCTAGATCTTTAAGATTTTGGGGTCAAACCGACTTCCAAGTTGTATAAATACGGAATATTGTCAAGTGAAATAAACAAGGCAGTTTGATACATTATTCTANTATGGGGTGGTTATTATTGGATCATTATCCTTGTATGTATTTTCTAGGATAATGATGTTAGTTGTGATAAGTCCAAATATGTGTTCGATAAGGACTTCTAGATCTTTAAGATTTTGGGGTCAAACCGACTTCCAAGTTGTATAAATACGGAATATTGTCAAGTGAAATAAACAAGGCAGTTTGATACATTATTCTACATGGTATCAGAGCAGCGATCTATTTGATTTCTTTTTAAAAAAAAAAAAGAGTTTTGAGTGTTTGTCCATAGTTTGGACGGTAATTACCATTCGCAGTGATGTCTGGTCCTCAAGATGTTGTCAAGTCTGACGAAATTGTTGCAGGAAAAGATTCCGCCGTTCCTGCGTCTCCGTATGTTTTATATGCGTCTGATAATCCAGGGGTTATGATCACTCCAGTCATGTTGAATGGAGAGAACTACAACCAGTGGTCTAGTGAGATGCTTAATGCTCTTCAAGCTAAGAGGAAAATTGGTTTCATTAATGGAAGTTTGAAGAAACCGCTAGTTGGTGAACCCAACTATGATAATTGGGTGGCGGTCAATTCAATGGTGATAGGTTGGATAAGAGCTACAATCGATCCTAAAGTGAAGGCTTCTGTTAGTTTTGTGGCGGAGGCAAGTCAGTTGTGGTCAAGTTTGGAGCAGCGTTTCTCAGTTGGGAATAAAGTGCGTATTCATGAGTTGAAGGCGCAACAAGCTCAGTGTAGACAAGATGGACAAACCGTGCTTGAGTATTATGGACGGTTGTGTGCTTTGTGGGAAGAGTTTGCGGTGTACAGACCTCTTCCAAAGTGTACATGTGAAGCTTCTGATGAGATAAGGAAGGAGCGTGAAGATGACAAGGTGCATCAATTCATTATGGGTTTGGATGATTCGAGGTTTGGTGCACTGTGTACAAGTCTTATTGGTATGGATCCTTTGCCATCGATTGGTGAAGTCTACTCTAAAGTTATCAGAGAAGAGCAGAGGTTGAATGCGTCACGATCACGAGAACAACAACAAGATGCAGTAGGTTTTGTGGCAAGACAAACGGAGATGGTGTCTGCTGACAAAAGTGTTGCAGCGAAGAGTGAGTCCTCTGTACTTAAGAATCGCAATGCGGTGTGTGCTCATTGTGGACGATCGGGTCATGAAAAGAAAGATTGTTGGCAACTGGTGGGATTTCCAGAATGGTGGACTGAACGGTCTGAACGAAACAATGGTGGTGGTGGTTCTGGAGAGGAAGAGGGCGTGTTTCTCGCGGTCGTGGTAGAGGTTACGGTGCTACAGCTCATGCCACGAGTTCTAATTCTTCACCTTTTCCAGAGTTCACTCATGAACAATGGAAGGCACTGGCTAACATGATCAACGAGAAAACAGGTTCAGATAGGCTTTCTGGTAAGACAATTTTTGGTGATGTAATCTTAGACACTGGAGCCTCACATCACATGACAGGACAGTTGTCTCTGTTAACAGACGTGGTGTCTATACCTCCGTGTTCCATTGGCTTTGCTGATGGTAGTAAGACTGTTGCTTTGAGCATGGGATCGTTTCCTCTCTCAAACAAAGTGTCTTTGACCAATGTGCTTTATGTTCCTTCATTGAATTGCACATTGATATCAGTTTCGAAAATCTTGAAGCAAACTGGTTGTTTTGCTACGTTTACTGATGCGGTTTGTGTTTTACAGGACCGTTTCTCGAGGACTCTGATTGGAACCGGTGAAGAGCGTGGTGGGGTTTATTTTTTAACGGATGTAGCTACAGCAAAGATTCACTTAGCCGGGACATCATGTGATCAGACTTTGTGGCATCAGCGTTTAGGACATCCTAGTTTTTCTGTTTTGTCTTCTTTACCATTGTTTTCATCAACGTCTGTTAGCTCTCGTCCGTGTGATGTGTGTTTTCGAGCTAAACAGACTAGAGAAGTGTTTCCAGACAGTTTTAATAAAGCAAATGATTGTTTTTCCCTGATTCATGTCGACGTATGGGGTCCGTACCGTGTGTCTTCCTCTTGTGGTGCTGTTTATTTTTTAACAATCGTTGATGATTTCTCTCGTGCTGTGTGGACGTTTCTCATGTTGGCTAAGTCCGAAGTTAGTACCATTCTTACGAATTTCATCACCTATGCGAGTAAACAGTTTAACAAATCTGTAAAAATTGTTAGGAGTGACAATGGAACTGAGTTTACTTGTCTTGCATCTAAGTTTCGGGAGCTCGGTATTATTCATCAAACTTCCTATGTAGGAACACCTCAGCAGAATGGACGAGTGGAGCGCAAGCATCGTCACATTCTCAATGTTTCTCGAGCCTTGTTGTTTCAAGCAAAGCTACCTGTCAAGTTCTGGGGTGAAGCGGTTCTTACTGCTGCTTATTTAATTAATCGGACTCCCACAGCTTTGCACAAAGGACGATCACCTTATGAGATCATTCATGGTACAAAGCCGGATTACAAGTCACTTCGTGTATTTGGCTCGGCATGTTACGTACACAGAACTACGAGGGATAAAGACAAGTTTGGTGAGCGCAGTCGTTTGTGTGTGTTCCTCGGGTATCCTTTTGGCAAGAAAGGGTATAGAGTGTTTGATATTGAGCGAGAGGAGTTTCTGATTTCTCGTGATGTTATCTTCAGAGAAGATGTCTTTCCGTTTGCAGACCAGTCATCGTCTCAATCTCAGTCTTCCTTGAGTGGTGTTGATTTTGATTGGTCCTTCGAAGACAGGGGGAGTACTTCTCTTGAAGAATTATCTTCAGTGGTGGACACAGATGTTTTGGATAAGGCTACTGCACCGGAACTTGGTTCTAATGTCATTACTGCAGTACCGACTATTGAAGATGAAGTTATTGTTCCTGAACCGGCTACAGTGGAACCGGTACCTGTTGTTGCAGAAGTTGTTCCTGTGGTGTCTACGTCTGTCAGTGATGCGTCGGATAAAAATGAGAACAATGGTAATGAGACTCAACTGGTTGAGGAAGCTTCTGGTCGTGGACAGAGACAGCGTGTTCCGTCTGTTCGTCTTAAGGACTTTGTTACATACAATGCAATTGCTACGACCACCCCCCACGCTCTCACGACTTCCACATCATTGTCTTCTGATCTGGTCCAAGGTAATTCACTCTATCCCTTAACTAACTACATCAGTGACACTAACTTTACTCCACAGCATCGTGCCTTTCTTGCATCTATCACGGCGCATACTGAGCCAAAACATTTCAAGGAAGCTGCTGGTAATAAAGTTTGGGATGAATCCATGACTTCAGAAATTGAGGCTCTTGAAGATCAGCATACTTGGGATGTCGTTGATCTCCCACCAGGCAAGGTTGCTATTGATAGTTTGTGGGTTTATAAAATTAAGTTTAACACAGATGGTACTGTTCGAAGATATAAGTCTCGGCTTGTTGGTTGTGGCAATAAGCAAGTTGCAGGAGTGGATTATCACGAGACTTTTGCACCTGTTGTTAAGATGAAAACGGTGCGTACTCTACTTCGTCTAGCTGCCGCTAACAAATGGGAAGTGTTCCAAATGGATGTTAATAATGCTTTCCTCCATGGTGAGCTCAGAGAAGAAGTGTATATGAAGTTGCCACCAGGTTTTCGGCACTCTCACCCTAATAAGGTATATAGACTTCGCAAGTCTATTTATGGCCTTAAACAAGCTCCACGTTGCTGGTTTAAAAAGCTGTCGGATGCTCTTCTCAAGTTTGGTTTTCTACAGTCCTATGATGATTACTCCTTGTTTTCTTATACTCGCAAGGGAGTTCAGCTGCATGTTCTTATTTATGTGGATGATTTTCTCATTTGCGGTAATGATAGTTACATGGTTGAGAAGTTTAAGGAGTATCTTGGTAAATGCTTCTCAATGAAAGATTTGGGCAAACTCAAGTATTTTCTTGGTATTGAAGTTAGCAGGGGGCCAGAGGGTATCTTCTTGTCTCAAAGGAAATACGCTTTGGATATTGTGACTGATACAGGCAATCTTGGGTGTAAACCTGCTGCGACGCCATTGGAGCAAAAGCATAATTTGGCCAAGAGTGCTAGTCCAGTCTTGGCTGATCCAACTAAGTACAGACGTCTTATGGGGCGTTTGATTTATCTGTCTCACACTCGACCGGAACTCAGCTACTCCATTCACACATTGTCACAGTTTATGAAGTCCCCTCGTGAGGATCATTGGCAAGCTGCCATTCGTCTTGTGCAATTTCTCAAAGGTACATTGGGTCAGGGAGTCTTTCTCAGCTCGTCGTCAGATATGACTCTCTCTATTTATTGTGATTCTGACTGGTCCTCTTGCCCTCTCACAAGACGATCTTTGTCAGCCTATGTTGTTATGCTTGGTGATTCCCCTGTTTCGTGGAAAACGAAAAAGCAAGATACAGTTTCACATTCGTCGGCCGAAGCTGAATATCGTGCCATGTCATTTGCACTCAAGGAAGTAAAGTGGTTTCGCAAACTGTTTACAGGGATAGGTATCAAACAGCAGCACCCAACACGTTTCTTCTGCGACAGCAAGGCCGCTATCTATATTGCTACTAATCCTGTGTTTCACGAGCGTACAAAGCACATTGAGAATGATTGTCATGCAGTGCGTGATGCTGTTTCAGCTGGACTTATTACTCTTCATCATATTCGGACGTATGAACAAGTGGCTGACATTCTTACTAAGGCTTTGGGGCGTGATCAGTTTCGTTCGTTGCTGTCCAAGTTGGGCGTTCACAATCCTCACGCTCCAACGTGAGGGGGAGTATTATGGGGTGGTTATTATTGGATCATTATCCTTGTATGTATTTTCTAGGATAATGATGTTAGTTGTGATAAGTCCAAATATGTGTTCGATAAGGACTTCTAGATCTTTAAGATTTTGGGGTCAAACCGACTTCCAAGTTGTATAAATACGGAATATTGTCAAGTGAAATAAACAAGGCAGTTTGATACATTATTCTANTATGGGGTGGTTATTATTGGATCATTATCCTTGTATGTATTTTCTAGGATAATGATGTTAGTTGTGATAAGTCCAAATATGTGTTCGATAAGGACTTCTAGATCTTTAAGATTTTGGGGTCAAACCGACTTCCAAGTTGTATAAATACGGAATATTGTCAAGTGAAATAAACAAGGCAGTTTGATACATTATTCTACATAGCCTAAATCTTCCAAGTTCCAACGAATATAATAGTGGACTTTATATGAATAGACGCAGACCTATGTATACACATATACATAACTCGAATACAATTGAACGTAACGGTTTGACCCCAAATTTTGTCAATAAGTACATATTATCTGTGTATTACGTATGTGTGCCTAGTTCTCAGCATAATTCGATTTCATCTCGGGAGATAACTTTTAACCAACCAAATCACCAGTTTTAGCTATTAATCAGTGACCAAAATTTTCATTTCCTAACTATTATTGTTTTAGCTATAGAAATCCTTCTTAATTATATAAGAAACTTGCCAGACATGACTCTGATAAGCTCCTGGGTTCACGATCATAACCGTGTGTACATAGACATTGACTAAATGGTTATATCTCTAGTCGCAATAGTATATGGATATCCCTGAACCGGTTAAGGTATTAAAGTTTGATTTTACAAAGACCCACTATGGAAAACGTACCTCCAAAATGATTAGAGAATGTGATGAGAGGTTAGTGGGGAGATCTCACTTTAAGTATCTTTTGATTTTGTCCTTTTAATGGAGTTCTACAAGATAGTTCAAGAAGAATCACATGTCATTGTACTTTGTAGGTATAATTCTATTCAATTTCAAATTGACTTCTCAATCCATTTGCCTTTTATAGAATAGTGGGGAGCTATAAATGGTGGGGGAGGCAAAGCATGCATAAACATAAAAACTGTATCTTAAGCTGGCAATAGAAGAACGTGTACATTCTCTTTGCTTTTAACGAAGTAACTCAAAAGTGTTGTTGATGGTTCAAGCCTAAAAAGTGTTCGGACCATGTAATATACCCACATCAATGATGAGACAATGACACTCATTAAGTCATGTTGTTTGAGTGGGAAATACTTTTAGTTGCGAGACAACAAAAGACTGAGATTTTGGAACATTCTTCGCCGTTGAGAATAAGTTATTTAGCATAGGTTTTATTTTAAAAACATCTAAGTTTCAGTTTTTTCTTATGACCAATATAAAACAAAGCCGGGGAAAAGTATAATTAAAACGTAATATAATTATATTCAAATTCAGGTTATACTTGAACAAATTATTCCTACTTTGATAAAACAATATAGATCGGAGAAAGGTAATATACTGATTTCAACAAACATGAAAATGCCATTTGGCTCCAGATAGTAGAACCTTTATTATCAAATATGGACCACCACCTCTAGGCTCTAGCACGCCCAAAAAACCTCCTCACTGCCTATAAATTGCACATTCTGATCACGATTTTATAAGTAGAACTCAAACATAAAAACTCAGAGAAATATATAAAAAGGGTTTCTAATAAATGGCTAATTTACTTTGGTGTAACATTGCCATTTTTTTGGTGGCCTCCTTGTTTCTTACTGACAATGCTATTGCTCTTGATGCCTTGAAACACTCCCCCAATAGAATCAAGTATCAACCTTACCGGACCGGTTATCATTTCCAGCCTCCCAAAAATTGGATGAACGGTACTCTTATATACCTGACGAAATAACTCTTTTTCATTTGTTGAACTTTATTTCACTTTCTCTAATCCTTTGTCTACATTTTTAAATATCTTCACTCACTTTTTCATGTTGGCGCTATGGTTCAATGTTACAAGATCCTAACGGTTAGTTTTCTTCCCTCCAAAATTTATTTTATGAATTACTCCCTCCTTTTCTAATTGATCCATGTTTTAGAAAAAAAAATATTTATTTCAAAAAGAGAATGTTTTATATTTTATTGCATTTTTGTCAACTAATATGTAAATTTCAAAAACTGTAATTGCAGTCACTGAATTTTTCTTGATTTAAAGTTATAGAAAATAGACAATTACAAAAAAATATGTATTTAATACCATGTATAAAAAAAACTATAACATGTACTTCATCTACTTCATTTTAGATTTATATAAATTGATTAAAAAATATTTAATTTTATATATTTTCTAAATAAAAACATCATTACATGTACACATAAATCACATTTCAATCAATAAAAAATAAAATAATATAAAAATTAATAAATTTTCTATTGAAATTATAAAATAATATTTATTTTGAGACGAAAATGTTTCTTTACAAGGTCAACTGAATTTGGAACAGAGAAGAGTAATTCTTATAGAAAATGATTAGATATCGTTGATTATGTACATAAATTTGGACAGGGCCTATGATATACAACGGAGTCTACCATCTCTTCTACCAATGGTACCCAAACGGCGCCATCATGAAAGTCAACGAGATCGTGTGGGGCCACGCAACATCAAATGACCTGATCAACTGGACCCCACATTCTCCAGCTATCAAACCATCTCGACCGTCCGACATCAACGGCTGCTGGTCCGGTTCCATCACAATTCTCCCCAATGGCAAACCCGTAATTCTCTACACCGGCAACGACCGTAACAACCACCAGGTCCAAAACCTAGCCAAACCCAAAAACCTCTCCGACCCATATCTCCGGCACTGGACCAAATCTCCGGTGAACCCTCTCGTGACACCCAACCACATCAACTCCACCGCGTTTCGCGACCCAACCACCGCGTGGCTCGGCCGTGACGGACGGTGGCGCATGATCACCGGAAGCCAAGAAGGTCGCCGTGGTTTAGCTCTTCTATACACGAGCCGCGACTTCATTAACTGGAAGCAGACGGCGAAGCCTCTTCACTACAACGATGGCTCGGGGATGTGGGAGTGTCCTGACTTTTTCCCGGTGGCGAGAGATACTTTAGACGGTGTGGATACGTCGTCGTTTAGTGTGTCTGTGAAACACGTGCTTAAAGTGAGCTTATTAGAGACAAGTCATGATTACTACACGATTGGTACGTACGATCAAGTGAGAGATCAGTATGTACCGGACGATGGTTTTATTCAGGATGGTACGGCTCCGAGATATGATTATGGTAAGTTTTACGCGTCGAAGAGTTTTTACGACTCGGTTAATAGACGGAGGATCTTGTGGGGTTGGGTCAATGAGTCGTCGCCGGAGAAGGATAACATCAAAAAGGGTTGGGCCGGTTTGCAGGTATACCAAACCAGATTATTATGGGACAAATCTCATAATAGCATTTTTAAAAAAAATAATTTGTTACAAAAATAGCATTTAAAAAATCTACAAAATAAAATTTTGTCAATTAAGAATAACACTAACTTGCTTTACATTATAAACTCTAAACCCTAATTCCACCATCTAAATACTAAACCATATAATCTAATCAATAAATCAGTAAATCCCTAAAGCCAAATATATATATATATATATATATATATATATATATATATAAATATTTTAAATGAATGTGATTTCGAGAATTTTTTCCCCTTTGTGGTAATTTTCTTAACAAAAACTTAATTTAGTGCTATTTAATGATATTTCTAATTACTATTTGACCTACCGTTTAATTTAGTAGTTAATTCTTTTCTGGAACGTATGTAGTAGTTAATTTAACTAACCCATCTTAGTGGTTAATTAGGCGATTCCGAGGAAGATATGGCTTGATGAATCAGGAAAGAGATTGATGCAGTGGCCGGTTAAGGAAGTGGAGAGGTTACGTACAATGCAAGTCAAGTGGGAAAACAAGGTTTTGAAGGGAGGAGGATCTTTACTTGACGTGCAAGGGGTCACAGCTTCACAAGCAGACGTGGAGGTTTTGTTCAAAGTGAGTGGTTTAGAGAATGCAGATGTGATTGAACCGGGTTGGACCGATCCACAGTTGATTTGCAGCCAGAAGAATGCATCGTCGGTTAAATCTGGTTTAGGTCCATTTGGCTTAATGGTGCTGGCCTCGAAGAACTTGGAAGAGTACACATCGGTCTATCTCAGAATCTTCAAAGCTGGTCAGAAGAGTAAGGACTATGTGGTGGTCATGTGTAGTGACCAAAGCAGGTCTAGTTTAGACAATGGGAATGATAAAACATCTTATGGTGCATTTCTGGATGTATCTCCTAACCAACCGATCTCTCTCAGGACTTTGGTGAGCCCTCTCACAAGATTAATTTGAGCTTTTTATTTCTTTATTTATTTTACTAATGATTTTTCTTTGTGTTGCAGATTGATAATTCAATAGTGGAGAGCTTTGGTGGGAAAGGGAAAACATGTATTACTTCAAGAGTTTACCCAAAACTGGCAATAGGAGAAAATACACATCTCTTTGCATTTAACAATGGATCTCAGAATGTTAATGTTTTAAGCCTAAGTGCTTGGAGCATGAAGTCTTCTCTCTAAAAATCACTTTTTCATATGTATGTTAATCCGAGAGATTCTTGGAACTCTTGTTGTGTCTGTAATAAATAAAAACATATTTAAGTTAGAGATTGTGATCAAGCTCCTCTTTCAATTTGCAAACTCTATAGACACAGACCTTTTCTTTTCTTTAGTCATCATTCTCATCATCATCATATTCATCCTCATCAACAAGAGCCTCTCCAGTAAACCATGAAACTGCGTGAGGAATCAGCTTGTCTCGGATTGTCACACTGTAAAAACCAAAAACACCAAAACTTAAGGTCAGAGAAAATATGTCAATGTTAGAGACTGTAAAACAATAAAAGCTTACGCAATGTCATAGTCTTGATCAGTCAGGTTTTGGAGTTCTTCATCCTGCATGAATATATATAAATTTTTACGTTTATCTGATGACTAAATAGTATCAATATCAAAGAGAGAAGGCTTTACAAATAGTCTAACCATGGTTGTATAACATTCATCAACTTCATCAATCTCAGGAGGCTTGAAGAAGTTAAAGAAACTCTCGCAGTTTTCGGTTTTGGTCATGGGGATGTTGTTCACTTTCTTTGTCCCTTTCTTTGGCCTCTTCTTTACAACAACCTTATGAGTCAAACACTTACCTGGACACCATTCTATGTCCGTTCTACACATCACAAAGAAAAACAAAACCAAGTTTAATGATCATATCCAATATAAAACCAAGTTAAAACGAGGATGATTAATCTTACCCAATAACTTTTTCAAGAATAGGACCATCATCATTATCATCAGTCACATGGTAAGTTTTAGACAGAACCGAGTTGTTGAAGTAAGGATTAGGATCAAAGAGAAACTCTAGTTTGAAATTTCTTGAATTGTTTTCTACTCTACAACATCTGATGTCTTTGAGATACTTCAATGCTCCCTCATCTCTTTCTGTTATCTACATAAACCAAAACCATACTATCTTAAACAATCTGTTTTACCCTAATGATCACACAGATTCCAAAATGAAAATTGAACCTCGTTTGCGAGCATTTCGTTGGTTTTCATTGCAATTAACCAGAAGTTAGGTACTCCTTTCTCTGTCTCAGCTTCAACCTCACCGTTCACAATCTCATACCTCTGCAAGTTATCACTAAAATCTCAGGAAAATAATAAACAAAACTATAATCCTAACCAACATAGTATAATACAAGCAATAGGAAAATGATATTCAACTCTTTACCTTATCAAAAAGCGGCTTGTAGAGACTATCATATTTTGCCTCCAGTGCAGATTTTTCTTCAAGAAACTTTTCCTCTAGCTCATCGTGTTTAACCTGAAAATTTTAGACAACATTGAGTCTCTTTTCTCAGAGAATCAAGATTATACTCTTCAGAGAGAGAGAGAGGATATGGCATTATTACCTGAATGTCTTTGAGAAACAGAACACGTTTGGTAACATTAGGTGAGAGTTTCTTCGTATCAAAGGTTTGCTTTATTGTTAGGTTCTGTAAGTTAATTAACATCAAAACACAAAGATCATTACCAGATTAAACAGAAAAAGACTAATGTCTGATTTCATTGACTATAGAAAATGACTTGCCTTAATATCCTCGTTAAGAGCAGGATCCTCTGGCACAATATCTACAAATCAAAATGGTTAGCATTTTAACCCTAATCATTGTTGCTTCCATAGCAAGAAAGTAAAAAAAAAAGAACAGGGAAGTTACTTGACGCAGAAGTATATAAGACAGAGCAGAGTTTTGTGGGATAATCAAAAGAGTCAACATTTTCTCGAGAATGAATTGGATATAAAAAAAAAAACGAGTGTTTTTTAGGTAAAGAAATTACCCAAGGCATCAGATGAATCGTCTCCATTGTTCTGAACATCTTTGATGGACGTGATGTTCTCTTCATTGCTCATGTTTCGTTAGAAAAACAAGAATTTTCCAGGACAAAAAAAAAAACAGAAGAAAGGCAGAAAAATGAGGGGGAAAGGAAGGAGAGGAGAAGACTTAGCGGCTCTGTTTCAATTTGTAATTCATTCACATGTGCGACGTGAAGAACTCACACATGCGAGGTGAAGAACGTGGATCCTTAGTGGAGTCCCATGAGCTTGCACATATAACAGCAAAAAGAATACGGTGACATTATCATATACCAAAAGAAGCATAATTTCGAGAAATGTGAAGTATACGCAGAAGAAGATTAAACCAATATGTTTGGTGAATATCACTAGTCGTATTATTTTGTGATATATAAGAAATAAGACATGTTAAATGAAAAAAAAAATGTCATTAATGATGGATTTTAGGATTAGTTATAATCTCAGTGGCATAAAAAATAATATTTAACATAAGAGTAGGGGTTATTTTATGTGTACATCATTTTTACAATAGACTAGGTGTTGATACACGACCTGCGCCGGATGAGATAACTTTGACTTTGCTTTAACAATAATTTGGTGTATTAATTTTTTTAATTGAAGAATAGATAGTAGATGTGAATCAGTAATAAAAAGCATATAGTCATATAATGAGAAATTAATATAACTGCGAAATGAAGCATAGTTGCAAAAATATTGTTTTCAATGTTTGTCTTATAGATATCTGATAATACAAAAAACTAAAGAAATAGACTACTAAAAAAACAGTTAAATTAAATTGCAATAAATAATAGAAAAATAAAACATAGAAAAATAAAACAGGATATTATGAGAAAAATTCTATTAAAACAACATAAGAAATTGCAAATTAACATGATATAATGAGAGAAATTGTCTTCAAAACTCATGGTTTGCAATCCTACATACAAAAATAACAATTAATAAGTTTACCAAAAAACACACAGTCTTTTAATATTTTTAACTCATTGAAATAATATACTTCATCATGAACGCATCGAGTTCTGGAACATCATTAGGTTAAAAAATGATTTTTGAAAACCTATCGATGTTTGAGATATTCTTCAATTTTCCTTATCATGATTAAACAAAAAAATTTAGCAATTGTCTAATGTGATATAAAATTCAACAGATTATTTATTTAAAATTATAACAATACATTACCTACTTCCCAATTAATTTGCCAGAATTCTGGACGTATAGACATTTGCTTATATATGTGTAAGAAGCATTTATTTTACTATATTCACAATGATTTGTGTTTGTGTATCAAGCAAGCACTAATTCAGACGTATCTCATTTACTTCAGAATATTATATATAGGTGATTGACTTTCATATGGAAAGAGAGCATTAAACTTTTCGACTAATTTGAAAAATACGTGATTAACTTACTTAAAATAGGTGATTGACTTTCATATAATATAACTCATAGTATTAATTTTCTGTCCAAAATTTTTTCGTGTGGTTTAAATTCCTTTTAGTCCCATACTTATAACTTTCATGGTTCTAAAGATTTCTAAATTAATTATATGAAGCAGCAAATCATACTTTCCATAATTTAAGGTTGTTCGGCTACAACCGTTGATATATCTGATTCATTGTGTACTGCCGAAATATTCAAAATGTTGATTCAATATGTTTAAATTAAAAATCATTAATAGTTATTTTTTCAGCCATATTTTCATCAGTAAACTTTTCTTCATTGCATTTTTATTTGTTTGTGGATTGTTTTTCTTATCAAGACAACATTTATTCAGAGGTATTTATTAATTCAATCTTTGAAAAAATAATATAAATATTATATTTTCTATTTATAAATACGTATTTTATTCAACATTCCTTACTTATATTATAAAGTTACATATTTGATTAATACTATTGTCAAATACGATAACAACAGATGGTCTTTTATTTAATATTCGGAATATATTATGAAGTTACATTACATATAATGGGTAGTTATATAGATGAATGATGAATGTTTAATACCATTGTCAAAACGTAATGTTCGAATATTGATTAGTAATAAATACATAGAGGTACATGATGCATAAATGAAAGTATAAGTATAGATTTGTCCTCAATGGCATGAAATGTAATATGTCTAGTTAAGAAAGGATTATTCCAAAAAGGCAATGAGATGAATTGTGGTGATGCCACATAAGTAATGGCATAATGGTTAATAACACATGAACAAAAGGTTTAATGTCAAAAGGTCTTTTCAAATAATAAGAAGGGGATTAGGATTGCAACTAGATTGTTGATTTTTGGAATGGAATGCTTTGAAATGATTTAGTCTATTAATTCCAAAAAAAAAATTCACCATTTGACATGAATCTATATTATAATCTATATTATAATGATTGAGTTTAAAAGCTCCTTAAGGTGTCCACATGGGCAGATTGTGGGTCCCACATTTTTATTTTAAAATAGATAGTTTTTTTAAAATGGCTACAAACAAAGAATATCAGTTTAGCCAAGTGGTCTAAGACCCTATGTTTGGTCGCCAAGGACATGGGTTCAATTCTCACTGCTCTCATGCATAAACCAATTAATGTTATCATCATAAAAATATTTTTTAAACACACATAGTCTTGGTAAGATGGTCACAAACAATGAAATACACTTTATCCAAGTGGTATAAGGTGTCTAATTAAGTATGCAAGATTGTGGGTTCAAACCACACAGCTATCATGTATTTTTGATTTTTTTATTTAGGTTATTATCATATGGGCTTTTTGTTTATAAAGTTCTTATGTTTTTTTTTTGGCTTATTGTTTTAAAGATCAAAATAGTTGTATAAACCCTAAACCTTAATAAGTTCAAACCCAAAATAGTTAAAAATGAATCCAAAATGAATAATAAAACAAAAAACAAAAAAACAAGTCTCACGTGGTTGTCTACGCGGATGGCTTAAAGAACCTTAAAACTATCCTATTATAATATAGTTCAACCCAAA